ATGCTCTAACCAACTGAGCTACATCCCTGCTGGCCATTCCCTCCCCTACCCTGGACGACGCTGGGCCAATTGTGCGCCGCCCCATGGGTCTCCCGGTCACGGCCAGCTATGACAGAGCCTGGATTCGAACCAGGATCTCTAGTGGCACAGGTGGCACTGCGATGCAGTGCCTTAGACCACTGAACCACTCAGGAGATAAGTACCCCATATAAGTCTGACCAGAAGCTCTCCATATACACGCTCTTCCCACCGAATGCTCCACGGACATACAGGATTGAAATGAATGCTTCCAGCTCATCAACAGACAGATAAGAGGCAGTGTCTCCTTGCTCCGTGAGCACTTTAGCCACAGTACAGTCCCTGAATGCTGTAGCATGCCCATGTCAGATAAACAATGAAAGCTGGTGAGTGCATTGCTGATGTTTTTTGCTTGAGATGCTCTCTCAGTGATTACATTTTGTGCTGATAAATCGTCCCGTAGCATTGTCACTGGCTCGTTCCATCTAAAATGGTGGTGTCCTTTCCTCTCTCTTTCTCCTGTCTCACCGTTTCATTTGGTAGTGGCACGGACACTTTCTCAGTATGCACCTTTCTGGCTTTTCTGTGCTTAGGCCTCAGAGGTGTAGGTTATTCTGTGTACTCCAAGTAGCCCAGAGTAGACTGATAAAACGGCTTGATTTGGTGGAAGGATATAGGGTACCATTTTAAGATAACAATTTGAACATACCAATACAATAGAATGGCACGCCCTGTTCTTCATTCACAATTTGTGATTACATAATTAGGCATTGTTCGCTTCCCCTCACTCATCAACTCACCCATTCTCCCTCATCATACTTTACGTCATTTATTTCATCGGTTCATATACACTACCGTTCAAAAGTTTGGGGTCACTTAGAAATGTCCTTGTTTTCGAAAGAAAAGCATTTTTTTGTCCATTAAAATATCTAATTGATCAGAAATACAGTGTAGACATTGTTAATGTTGTAAATGGCTATTGTAGCTGGAAACGGCTGATTTTTTATGGAATATCTACATAGGCGTACAGAGGCCCATTATCAGCAACCATCAGTCCTGTGTTCCAATGGCACGTTGTGTTTGCTAATCCAAGTTTATCATTTTTAAAAGGCAAATTGATCATTACAAAACCTTTTGCAATTATGTTAGCACAGCTGAAAACGGTTGTGCTGATTAAAGAAGCAATAAAACTGGCCTTCTTGAGTATCTGGAGCATTCCATAAAAAAATAGCCATTTACAACATTAACAATGTCTACACTGTATTTCTGATCAATTTGATGTTATTTTAATGGACAAAAAAATTGCTTTTCATTCGAAATCAAGGACATTTCTAAGTGACCCCAAACTTTTGAACGGTAGTGTATGTGTGAAATTAGTTTCGGTATAGTTTAGGTTCAGTTGAGGCAATTATCGGGGTGATTATCAACTGGGCACAGCCTATTCCACTGTCAGGAGAAGGATGAGCAATGAGGGAAAACCCATTTAAAAAATGACATGCCGTCATAAAACTGGTTATAACTCCAGTTATGTTTGTGATATTATGATTCTAACAACGGCAGCGTGTTACAGTATATAGACTTATTTAGGAAAAGTCCAGGACGGAGGGGGGCATGACTTAAAAAATGGCAGAGTCATACATATTTACAAAAATTAATGAGCAGTCAAAATAATTGCTTTAGCGGTTCTAGTGTTAAGGAAAATGAAAGAGTTAAAAGACCTCAGTTGAACTACTGTAGAATCAGGGCTGAGTGAAACATACTGAGAATGTAATGTACTGGTATATACACAGACATGCTAAAGTAATCCATCTAATGTTAACCTTTTCCAATGACTTCAATCTTCCCTAGCTCCCATCAGTGGTCTATTGAATAATGAAGTGAGGCTAAGACCATATACAGTATAGTCCAGTGGTTCCCAACCATGGGTACATGTACCCCTGGGGTACTTAAGAAGGCTCATAAGAATATAGGCCTACTGGTAAAATGCACGAGGGTACTTTGTGGGTTCTCAGGACAGAGCAAAATCTGATTTGGGGTACAGTAACCAAAAAAGGTTGGGAATCACTGGTCTAGTCTACATCACAATCATACCTTGTGCAGCATTTTACAACTATAGGAGATGTGGATTAATAAAGGGAAACATTTTCATTTTATGGCCCATTGCAAGTGTGTGTGCAGAGCAGTGGCACTCACAATGAGCTTGAGGGGTTGGAGTATTAACATAAATGTACTTTAGCAAATGAGCCATGCCGAAGAGACGGGATAGATCGCTGTTGGCTAGGTCTCCTGTTGCTAGTGCCCAATGAAGTGCCTTGAGCTGGAATGTGTGTGTGTGGTAGGGGGGGAAAAGGGCTGTTTGTACAGCTGTGACAGGCATTCACCACACTATTGGACACTATTGCCTCTCCAATGTCCAATTCACCCCTCTGATCTCTGGACGTGTGTGTGTGTGTGTGTGTGTGTGTGTGTAAGTGGTGGGCGCCACTACCCCGTCTGGACAAGTGCTTAAGGGGGGTGAGTATTTGAGAGATGTGGTACATTTTCTTGAGGCGCCTGAAAATGGCAACAGGAATACAGAGGAGAGGAGCTCATGTGATCTGATGTACAGACCGAGAGACACATACTCCTCATTTAACCAACAATGGGAAGCTTCAGGACAGACACACACACCAGGGTTTCCATTAGCCGGTAATAGCCGGCTTTTGGCCCTCCCAAAAAATATGAGAAGCCGATAAATCTAATTGCCGCAGGCCACTTGTTCAGGAGAAGAAAAAAATCCCATTGCAAAATAATGCTTTTTAGCCTATTCATTGATGGAAATACCAGTTGATGGAAATACATTTTACCGGTCAGTTGATCGGTCTATAGGTTAATTTGAATAATTTTGTGGAATTAAATTGCAGAGTGTATTTTCGTAAGTTGTTATGCATTTTATCACATGTGCACAGCATACAGATACAGCTCTGTCATATAGCTACTGCTACAGCTCCTCAAACAGCTTGTTCATTGCTGCTTGAGTGAGTGCTTTTACAAGCCCAATCATTGCGCAACAATTCTAAATGCAATCACGTGTTAAAAACAGTTTTGATGGCAGGTAGCTTAGTGGGTAAGAGCGTTGTGCCAGTAACCGAAAGGTCGCTGGTTCTAATCCCAGAGCCGACTAGGTGAAAAATCTGTCGATGTGCCCTTGAGCAAGGCACTTAACCCTAATTGCTCCTGTAAGTCGCTCTGGATAAGAGCGTCTGCTAAATGACAAAAAAAATAAAAAATAAAATAGAAAAAGAGCTACTATTTTATTTCACAACTGGTAATTGAAGCACCCTTCCCATTCGCCATTTAAGTGCATAGGCAATGGTAGACAGGCTTCAGCGTGTCACACACCACTTTGCAATGAGCTGGAGGCAGTATGCATTTTAGAAACATACTTTTTGTTTTTTACCTGAATGTTTTACTTCATATTTTGAGGCAAGTCTTACCTCGCTTCAAAGTAGCCTAGCCAAAATCTGATTCCGACCATAGAAATGTGGAGGCAATTATTTTATAAAGACTTCCATATGCCATTGAAACCAGTAGACTATTTCTCTCATGTTCTATTTGTTTTCAAATCAACATTCTTTCATTGTTCAGTAGCATAAGACTACATCTTTAGATCTCTCCTCTTTCTAAATTTTTAACTGCTATTTTCATATCCGTCACATGAAAATGCTCACGTGCGGTGCGCTTTTGACAAAGTGTTTTCCTGCTCATTGCATTAGGGAACAAACATTCGCGCATAGCCTACTGCCTTTTGCACATTGGTGCGCTTATAATGTGAAGAAATAACAGTTTATCAATATTTTAATCTAAACGCTCTGATCGGTTGCATCAGCCTCATTGCTTTTGAACGTTTTTTTAATGTATTGGTTGTATGAATTTGGGATCTATCGTCCCACAACTGTCCCAGAGTCTGTTTGGAATAGGCCATTTCTTTCTAGCACAGAACGACAAGCTGACCAATAGAATAGGTCAACTTTTCTACTATGGGGGGAAAGTAGATTGACATAAGCTAGTGATTTTGCAGTTCGTTACTCATCTTGTTGGCTGAGGGAAAGTCAATGTGGACAGTTACTCTAACATCTTCAAAGTATGCTTGGGCGATATAACGTTTATACCGTATACCGGGGTATTTCGAAATACAGACGGTTTGCGGGGGCTGCGGGCTACACCACTGCTTATAAACTATAAGTTAAGTATAACTATAAGAAATATAAGATGTGTCAAATAAATGATATCCAGCTCAGGGCTCCAGCTATGAATTTGGTTTGCTAACTTGCTAGCTAAGTGGCTTGATGTCAAGATCAAGCTTCTTGGTTACAGCAGAGACATTCAATCCTCTCCTGGATCAAGATCCCTGTTGCCTAAATTGTTTTGTGCGTCCCCTCCCCCAAAAGATTAAAACATTTTTGGGAAATAGCGCCACTTTTATATACCTCGGCACGATACAGAAACGGTATGACGGCATGAAAATCTGGATACCGCCCAACCCTACTTCAAAGTGCACATCAGAATTCGGTAAGGACAACGCACACCGTTGCATGTTCTGTTAAAATGAATTACCATAATCGATACGTGATTTGTCATTCTGAGCACTGTGGGTGGATGCCCTAATCAGGTTACGCACCCAATGCATATGGATCCAGTAAATTTCTAAATTTCCAGTAAATTAAAATGCTGCCGATCAAATGTCCGGCGCCACATTTTCCTAACGGAAACCCTGAGACACACACAGACAGAGCGACACACAAAGACAGACAGACACACCAGCCTAAGCCACTTTATAAGGAAAGACAATCTGGCTGCTAGTCTGGAGGACAGAGTCATTAGCCTGTCCTGAGTGGCTCCAGTGTTAACGGTGAGCTAGCCCGGGTAATGAATATATCATCTGGACTTGTTCCAAATCCATTAAGGTTAAAAATGAAAGAATCCTTGAACAATAAACGCTATTATTCTACTGTGGTAAATGAGTGTGCGCATATGTGCTTGTGTGTGTAAGCGTAGGTGGAGTGCTTGTGTGCTTGTGAAGTGCTTGTGTGTGTGTTCCTGTGTAAATGTGCATTATTAACCTGGTAGAAGTAAGGGTTGGGCTCTGACTCTCCCACACCGTTGAAGTCCTCCACATTGATTAGCTGGAAGTCGAAGGTCAGGCCAGGGTTGGGGGCCTGGAACTGGGGCAAGAGCTGTACGTGGGGTAGGTTCCCCAGCTGCTTATAGCGCCAGTTATACAGGTTACACAGACTGGAGGAGAGATGGAGAACCATGTTAGCATTCATTCATATGGTTAGAGAATGGCACGTTAGCATTAAAAGGTGCTACACATAGGATTTTGTAGAATCTTGCATTGTAATTTCAGAAAATGTCCATAATATATCTGCCGCTAATATTGGAATGATAGTGTTTCACAGAAATGCTTACCCGCCAGTGTTGTGATTGGCTGTGATATTCGCCTATTGATTTTTCCCGCCGGAGCGGCATCTTGTCAGACTGGAAAAGCTGTTCTGACTTTGTGGCGCTCATTTCCTGGCTACAGAAATTCTACGTTCGCTCAATTTCAGTTTGTGAGAAAACAAGCACTGAAGTGTATGGAATCACTGTACCATCTAAATCGCTAACAAATATACACTGCTCAAAAAAATAAAGGGAACACTTAAACAACACAATGTAACTCCAAGTCAATCACACTTCTGTGAAATCAAACTGTCCACTTAGGAAGCAACACTGATTGACAATAAATTTCACATGCTGTTGTGCAAATGGAATAGACAACAGGTGGAAATTATAGGCAATTAGCAAGACACCCCCAATAAAGGACTGGTTTTGCAGGTGGTGACCACAGACCACTTCTCAGTTCCTATGCTTCCTGGCTGATGTTTTGGTCACTTTTGAATGCTGGCGGTGCTTTCACTCTAGTGGTAGCATGAGACGGAGTCTACAACCCACACAAGTGGCTCAGGTAGTGCAGCTCATCCAGGATGGCACATCAATGCGAGCTGTGGCAAGAAGGTTTGCTGTGTCTGTCAGCGTAGTGTCCAGAGCATGGAGGCGCTACCAGCAGACAGGCCAGTACATCAGGAGACGTGGAGGAGGCCGTAGGAGGGCAACAACCCAGCAGCAGGACCGCTACCTCCGCCTTTGTGCAAGGAGGAGCAGGAGGAGCACTGCCAGAGCCCTGCAAAATGACCTCCAGCAGGCCACAAATGTGCATGTGTCTGCTCAAACGGTCAGAAACAGACTCCATGAGGGTGGTATGAGGGCCCGACGTCCACAGGTGGGGGTTGTGCTTACAGCCCAACACCGTGCAGGACGTTTGGCATTTGCCAGAGAACACCAAGATTGGCCGCACAGCCCTCCATGTGCTTGCCAGAGGTAGCCTGACTGCCATTAGGTACCGAGATGAGATCCTCAGACCCCTTGTGAGACCATATGCTGGTGCGGTTGGCCCTGGGTTCCTCCTAACGCAAGACAATGCTAGACCTCATGTGGCTGGAGTGTGTCAGCAGTTCCTGCAAGAGGAAGGCATTGATGCTATGGACTGGCCCGCCCATTCCCCAGACCTGAATCCAATTGAGCACATCTGGGACATCATGTCTCGCTCCATCCACCAATGCCACGTTGCACCACAGACTGTCCAGGAGTTGGCGGATGCTTTAGTCCAGGTCTGGGAGGAGATCCCTCAGGAGACCATCCGCCACCTCATCAGGAGCATGCCCAGGCGTTGTAGGGAGGTCATACAGGCACGTGGAGGCCACACACACTACTGAGCCTCATTTTGACTTGTTTTAAGGACATTACATCAAAGTTGGATCAGCCTGTAGTGTGGTTTTCCACTTTAATTTTGAGGGTGACTCCAAATCCAGACCTCCATGGGTTGATACATTTGATTTCCATTGATCATTTTTGTGTGATTTTGTTGTCAGCACATTCAACTACGTAAAGAAACAAGTATTTAATAAGATTATTTCATTCATTCAGATCTAGGATGTGTTATTTTAGTGTTCCCTTTATTTTTTTGAGCAGTGTATTTTGAATAACAAAACAGCTGTAAAACCTACATTGTTTGTTATTGAAAATATATTTGTTAGCGATTTAGACGGTAGCGATTCTGTACACTATTCAGTGCTTGTTTTCTCACATTACTTGAATTTGTGTATAATTTTTGCAACCAGGAAATGAGCTATTTCCATTAGATAACCCAGCCACAAAGTCAGAACAGCTTTCCCAGTTTGACAACAGATTTCGCTCTGGCGGGAGAAATCAAAAGGCAAATATCACAGCCAATCACAACACCGGTGGATAAGTAATACTGTGAAACACTATCATTCCACTATTAGCGGCAGATATACATTGTCTGAAATTACAATGCAAAAATTCCTTTATGTATTACCTTTAAAGAGAGATTCACTATTCACCACTCTAGCTTAGCGTCCATGTTAGTATACAGTACATAGTGAGGGCACTACTACTGATTAGCCAAGCCAATTAGACAGGGAGCCATGACCGTATTCACATGTATCAGTGGCTACTTAGAACCTATTGGATCATGGACATAGCCAGGAGGGTTTAATTGGTTAACAGACTAGTTATTTTTGTCTTGTCTTATGTTTAAGAGGATTAAGAGATGTCACACACACACACACACACACACACACACACTGTTGATATTTTTTGCACAAATGTTTGATGATCAAACCTAGCATGATAAATTATTTTCAAATTTCAAATGATTTTTTGCATGTTCAGACTTGTTTATGTTTGTTAGTTACAAATAATATGTTATGTATTCAGCATTTCTGTTTTAACCATATTCCCTGCTATGTCCCCAGTGTGCCTAACCCACCTGGCGCGGGCACGTCCCTGGGCGTCCAGGTCAACGGTGGGCACCCCTAGGCGTACGAAGCGGGTGAAGAGGGACTGCTCCATGTTGGAGTACTTCTGGAAGGCCATGTTCTTAATGACGGGGGGCAGCTGGTGGTGGTCTCCTATCATGATCCAACGCTTCAGCCTGCTGTAACCATCCTCTGGGTTCTGGAGAGGGAGAGGAAAGATAGGTCAGTGTCAAGGTTCAAGGTCAGTTCTTCTCCACAGAGAAGGGAAAATGGCTTGCATTTCAAACACCCATCACCGGCCCTGCACCTTTTCACACCTGTTCTTCACCTCCTTTCGTTCTCTCCATTCTCCCCCCTCTGCCTGTTAACTGAGTGGTGAACTTTGTGCGCCATCTATCTGGCTAGTAAATAATACTGTGAATGCAGGAGAGGTAGGATGGAGATGGAGACCGAGCCGAGCCTCACTGATGAGTTTGCTATTCTGCTGATTAGGAGGGAGAGTTTAATGAGGGTTTGACCCCAGACAAACCTGACATTACCAAGGCTCATATGTCGAGCCTGATTCAATCACCGATAGGGATCCAATGGAAGGAAAATGAAGGGTGGGGGATGTAGATTCTCATTACCGCCTACGATGGAAAGACAGCAGGCATGATGGGATGGATGTTTGCATTGATTGGAGCGAGAGGAGACTAAGAGGTCGTTGGCCAGGTTGATGTGGTTTAATAGTCTCCTCTGTAAACAGACCCTACTGCCATCTGCTATCTGAGGCTATTAGGCCCCAGCATGATGACCCCGTTAACACTGGATGGACCCATTCATCCTGAGTGACAAGGAGTTCTCTTCTCAGGTGAAGTATAGACCTAAATATGGGCTTTAGACCTGAACATTGGGGTTTAGCTCCGGTGGGATTTTGGGTCTGATTGTAGTAATTTACCTGCAGCAGGAGAGGGATGAAGGTCTCAATCTCCAGGATCTGAGCTGCTTCCTCCATCAGGATGTTGTCGTACTGAAAACAGAAGAACATTAGTGTAAGTGACGAGTTGCCTCTGACCCGAGTTCTGTGTGTGTGTGTCTGATCTTAGTGTGTGTAGTGTAGGGTAGAGTAATATTTGTGTGTGTGTGTGTGTGTGTGTGTCTGACCTTGAAGCCCAACTCCACCAGGTCATGGCGTTTGAGGGCAGCGTGGGTGCAGGTCATAGCGATGATCTTAGCCTCCTTCACTAGCAGATACTTGGAACGGTCCAGTCCACTCCTCAGCAGCTCGAAGGCTCGGAACTCCTGATGGACACACACACACACTAGTAAGAAGGTGGATCAGAGGGCTGGGGTTAGGGTTAGAGCTCAGGGGTAAAGGTTAAATCATCAGCATTGTCAGGTAGTGATGACCGGTTCAAAGGGCTGCACCACAGTGAGCAGATGTTTATCATAAGATGACATGATGGAATACAATTATCCTTGGACGTAAAAAAATGACGGTTCAACTCAATGCTCTAAATAAACACATCCAATACATCTGTTGAGAAAACTTTGCTTTGATGCCAAAATAGAGGACCATAATCAAGTGTGTCCAGATATACAGTACCAGTCAAAGGTTTGGACACACCTACTCATTCAAGGGTTTTTCTTTATTTTTACTATTTTCTATATTGAATAATAGAGAAGATATCAAAACTATGAAATAACATATATGGAATCATGTAGTAACCAAAAAAAGTGTTAAACAAATCAAAATATATTTTATATTCTTCAAAGTAGCCACCCTTTGCCTTGATGACAGCTTTGCACACTCTTGGTATTCTCTCAACCAGCTTCACCTGAAATGCTTTTCCAACAGTCTTGAAGGAGTTCCCACATATGCTGAGCACTTGTTGGCTGCTTTTCCTTCACTCTGCGGTCCAACTCATCCCAAACCATCTCAATTGGGTTGAGGTCGGGTAATTGTGGAGGCCAGGTCATCTGATGCAGCACTCCATCACTCTCCTTCTTGGTCAAATAGCCCTTACACAGCCTGGAGGTGTGTTGGGTCATTGTCCTGTTCAAAAACAAATGATAGTCCCACTAAGCCCAAACCAGATGGGATGGCGTATCGCTGTAGAATGCTGCGGTAGCATGCTGGTTAAGTGTGCCTTGAATTCTAAATAAATCACTGACAGTGTCACCAGCAAAGCACCCTCACACCTCCTCCACCATGCTTCACGGTGTGAACCACACATGCGGAGATCATCCGTTCACCTACTCTGCGTCTCACAAAGACACGGCGGTTGTAACCAAAAATCTCAAATTTGGACTCATCAGACCAAAGGACAGATTTCCACCGTTCTAATGTCCATTGCTTGTGTTTCTTGGCCCAAGCAAGTCTCTTCCTTTTATTGGTGTCCTTTAGTAGTGGTTTATTTGCAGCAATTCAACCATGAAGGCCTGATTCACACAGTCTCCTCTGAACAGTTGATGTTGAAATGTGTCTGTTACTTGAACTCTGTGAAGCATTTATTTGGGCTGCCATTTCTGAGGCCGGTAACTGTAATGAACTTATCCTCTGCAGCAGAGATAACTCTGGGTCTTCCATTCCTGTGGTGGTCCTCAGGAAAGCAAGTTTCATCATAGCGCTTGATGGTTTTTGTGAATGCACTAGAAGAAACTTTAAAAGTTATTGAAATATTCCGGATTGACTGACCTTCATGTCTTAAGGTAATGATGGACTGTAGTTTCTCTTTGCTTATTTGAGCTGTTCTTGCCATAATATGGACTTGGTATTTTACTAAATAGGGCTATCTTCTGTATACCAACCCTACCTTGTCACAACACAACTGATTGGCTCAAACGCATTAAGAAGGAAAGAAATTCCACAAATTAACTTTTAACAAGGCACACCTGTTAATTGAAATGAATTCTAGGTGACTACCTAATGAAGCTGGTTGAGAGAATGCCATGAGTGTGCAAAGCTGTCATCAAGGCAAAGGGTGGCTACTTTGAAGAATCTCAAATATAAAATGTATTTTGATTTGTTTAACACTTTTTTGGTTACTACATGATTCCATATGTGATATTTCATAGTTTTGATGTCTTCTCTATTATTCTACAATGTAGAAAATAGTACAAACAAAGAAAAACCATGGAATGAGTAGGTGTGTCCAAACGTTTGACTAGTACTGTGTCCAATGCAGTCATCTACAACAGGGAGGTCATACAAGGCCGTAAAAACATTTTTTTATATATAAAAAAGTCACATTCCATTACCTAAAAACAGGATTCTTAGCAATTCCTTTGAAAAAATATCAAAACAAGGAATGAAATGTAAGACAGTAATTGCACGTGACCTTGGATATCTTCACTTTCAGCTATCTCCTTTTCAGTCCTTTCTATCCTCAGGAGCAGGCTCGTGAGCATTTAAAGGATATTCACATTTACATTTTAGTCATTTAGCAGACGCTCTTATCCAGAGCGACGTACAGTTAGTGAGTGCATACATTTTCATACTGGCCCCCCGTGGGAAACGAACCCACACCCCTGGCATTGCAAGCGCCATGCTCTACCAACTGAGCTACAGATATGGGTTACTGTTCAATAGAAGCTTAGTGAGCAGCCGAGCACTTCAGAACAGATTCCCTTACAGGGCTCGTCTGAATGGGAAAAGCAAGATTGGGGGTGTTTTCCTGAAAGGGACCCGCTTGAATTCATAGAGACCAGGCAGAGATATCATAGCTCTATACTGCTGAGGCTGAGAGTGGGCTAGTGTGGGTATAAACCGGTGTGGGTACGAACCGGCCCGGCGTGGCTATTTTGAGGTGGCCACATTTGCGGTCAAGGGGCTGCGGGGGGGGGGGGGGCTGAGGGAGGTGGAGCCTCAGAGGGCACTGGGAGAGATAAATATTTGATGCGTTACTATTTTTATATTAATATTAAACCCGATCAAAACATGTAATATTAATGAGGGCTATTTTTAACCCCCCGTGGCTCCTCAGTGGTTGAAGGGTGAAATGAATTCACAGACTGAAAGGAGAGGAAGAAAGATAAACAACAGCGTGAGGCTGGATGGAGAGAAATCCCAGCGGTAGACGGCTGTACACTGTGTTCCGGCTGTGTGTGTGTGTGTGTGTGTTGGCATCGTCTGCTGGGATGGCATCTCATAAAACACAAACATCTTTAAATACTCCTTGTAGGCAGCCAGGCAACAGAGCACTTTCATTCTCCTGTAATTCTAGAGGGAGATTCTAGCGTCTCTGAGTTGGGAGACAGACAGATATCTCTGCAGCAGCATCATGGGCGAGGCCGGGCTAAGTGAACATAGTAAGGTTCTCCCGTCTGATGTGATGCAGCCAGTGATAAGAGGGATGCCAGATAAAAATCAAGGCCACACGTACATGTTAGGATATTACCTCCAGTCAATAACTTCTTTATTGCTTCTGCGAGGTCTCGGCGTTGCTCCCATAAATCTCTAATGTTATTGTTCTCTCTATATAAAGACCGGACGCAACCAGGAGGGGCTGTATCTGAGCTGAGGTGCATGGCAAAGCAGTGTATGTGTGTGTTTGTATGTGTGTGCGTGTGTGTGTGTGTGTGTTTGTGTACACAGACTATGAATTTAGATCGCAGAGTGTGTGTGTGTGTGTTTAGGGAACGCAAGGGCCTGTAATCTTCCATCTGCATCTGGGGAGACATATAGCGGGTCTTGTGTCACTGCCAATGGGGGAGGAGGGGTAGCGGGGTGACAATCATGTCATTCCAACCAATATCTCACAGAACAGACTCATAAACAGAGAGAGTGAGGAGAGGGAGAGGGGGAGGAGAGGGATAGGAGGGAGAGAGGGCTGGAGAGAGATAAAGATGGTGGTGAATATGGAAAAGAAAAGAATAGCGCCATCTAGCACCATCTATCCAACCGCATCATATTACAAACTCCTAACATTACAACAGAAACAGCTGTTGAAATCTGATTCAATGCGATGTAACTGTGCCTGCAATGCTACTTCTTTAAAGAGTAGGATGCCCATAGGGAGAGAGGGTCAGAATCGGACCAATCACCAGTGAGCCCAGGTGGACCAGTTATGGTGTCAGTGGGGTAAACAGAATCATGTGTTCAGTGAGTGTGTTCCAGCCCCCACCTGGCCACACACACAGCTAGCTTAATGACCCGTGAGGAATTATGTGTGACATAATTACCACTGACTGGGGTGAAGATGATGTGTGTGTGTTCAAGAGCTTGTGTGTGACATGTTTAACTCTGAGTGAGGATCTTCTTGGCGTGTTGTGCATGTGCCTTCAGCTAGGTAAACATGTGATGTGTGTGTACGTGCCTCTACGTGATGTGCGTGTGGCCTGCCTACCTCCAGCTGGGTAAAGATCTTCTTGATATGTCGGTAGCAGCCCTCTGCGATGTCCATGTCTTCTTCGTAGGAGCGACCGTAGAACACAGGCTGGGGGGCGTTGGAGAAGTACTTGTGGAAGGGGAAGTGTGCTGCCACGGCCTCGGCCTCCACCGTACAGCCCTGCTTAGACCTGACCTTGCTCATGTACTCTTCCCAGCGAGACATCACCTACAGCGGGGAGAGGGAGGACACCAGACAGCCCCCCCGGATGTTACAGGTCTGGCTCTTTTTGGTATGCCGCACACATGCATTCTCACTCATATAGATAAACACAGTTGAGTCACATTCAAAGAGCATGCATGCTTCTTCATACAAACACTCTTTGCATCACATACAAAAGGGACGCAAAGTCATAGACATGGATGCAAACACAGTCAACATGTATTTTATAGTAATAATATACTGGAAAATAACATAAAATATAAATTATATTTTCCCCTTGAGTGTCATGGGAACGTGTGGAACCGTAATATATTGTGATATTTTGAAACAAAGCCCATGCCCTCACAGGCACAGTTGCAAAACAAACTACGCAGCCTTAGGGAACTGTGGAACAATTTGCAATTTAATCAGTATTACAAATGGCGATGTAGCTTGACCATCTGCCTTAATAGGCCATAACGATTAACAGAGACCATTATCCACCCCTGATATTATCCATCAGGCTCATTACTGCCTGATGTCCAATCCCATACAGGGTCTTTGAGTGCTAAGGTGACAAGGCAGATGAGGGGGAACAGATAATACTCTTCATCTGACAGGAGTGCCCTGGCCTATAGACAGAGATCTCATGTATAACTATTTATGACAATTTTATGGGAGATATTTTGCTGAGTTGTCCATGATGTTGTGTTGATAGCTGGTGTCTGTTCTGTTTGCGTCTGTCCAAAGACAATAAAAGGTTGATGACAATAGGAATCAAAGAAGAGGGGAGCCCCCTGACTGGCATGGAGGATTTCAATGTGTTGAGTGAGGGGTCTGGCATAGACCATAGGTTCCATAAACCCCACTACAATACTAAGCCTGACACAATGACTGCGGTATCTGCTATTAAACCACTGTCTCCCTCCCTCCTCTGCCGCCCCTCTTCAACCATTGCCAGCCTCCCGTGCTCCCAGTTTCATCTTACTGACAGCATGCCTCCTCAGTGAAAGATCAACTCTTCTTGATTTTAGATCTGGGCTATTGTATGAGCTCTCAGGTCTTCTTAAGTTGACAGTTGCCTTGGGTTGTCTTCTCTTTGTTTAAAAAGGCTGTTGTCTATTCTGGGCTATTCTGCTGATGCAATGCTGCCTGATGCATAATTGTCTGCTATGGCATCCTGGAGCCAGTATGCAGTATTTAGGTGACAGAAGTAAACAGAGGATAAGGTATAATAACTGAGGGGTTGGTATAATATTTTGGTATTTGTTGTTGAGGCAGATATGAAGTGAAAGGAAAATAGATACTGACACTTATTGAACTGGGATGTGGCCAGCACAACATTGATCAGCAGACTTTATCCCCTTGAATTTTGATTTTAGAGAAACATTTTATTCTCGATTTTTGCAGGTCAGGATATCAGGAATGAATGATTCATCTGTAAACGCATGTGTCCTCCCTGTACTGGAAAGTGACATACACACGTTCACATCCAACCACACACACACGCACACCCAGAACCCACACACCCCTCCTGTACTGACCTGGTAGAGGTAGAAGTGTCCGGCGGTCTCACAGGTGTAGGACACGTCTCCGGGGACGTCCAGACTCTCCTGCAGACGACCAACCTCACTGAGCAGCTCCAGCCTCCTTGCCAGCACGTAGTTCACACGCCCATACCTGAACAACATACCGCATTACATCAGCCCCTTCATACTATGAAAACCTCAACTCTGTTACAATAATGTCACTTAGTCTGTTTGTTTTACCTCTTGAGATGGGAAAACATGGTTTTTCTGACATCTAGTAAAAAATTTTTTAAATTTCTTAAATTTATTTCAACTTTATTTAACCAGGTAAGCCAGTTGAGAACAAGTTCTCATTTACAACTGCGACCTGGCCAAGATAAAGCAAAGCAGTGCGATAAAAACAACAACAGAGTTACATATGGGGTAAAACAAAACATAAAGTCAAAAATACAACAGAAAATATATATACAGTGTGTGCAAATGTAGCAAGTTATGGAGGTAAGGCAATAAATAGGCTATAGTGCAAAATAATTACAATTAGTATTAACACTGGAATGATAGATGTGCAAGAAATGATGTGCAAATAGAGATACTGGGGTGCAAATGAGCAAAATAAATGAATACATGAACCCTATTCAAGCAAAACATCCTATTCCTATAATGCTGATAACAGTCTCAACCTCCCCTTCACATTGCCTGCCTGCCCTTCCAGAACCGAGGGTCATACCACATCATTCTGAGGGGAAATGTTAATGTTTTGAAGAGAACTGAAGCCTAAACCTGTGACATCACAGCCTAGGGATAATGAACCCCTAAAATATGTTCATTATCATCATCATCCTACACGTGAGAATCAGCTGGCATCAAGTGGATAATCAAATGTAAAGTACACAAACGCTAACTCAACGCTCTGTATTAATAGCGTTGGTTGTTGAGGCGATGGGAGCTAATTGCACAAAACTAATAGCTAGATGGACCAAATTGCCTTCGTCACTAATAATGTATACATACCATTGATCACATATATTATTTACCACAATTGACTAGTATTGAATAAATACAGTGCACAATAAACAAGAGTTGTTTTTTCAACAAACGGAAAAGACAAAATCACAGTAAAACCGAGTCATCTTGTCTAGTCAGGTGTCCCGCCACAACAAACCAGAAAGCCGATTAGCATTAGTAGGTGGCACTGGGACATGCTATGTCAGATGTCACCCAGGCACAGTGCTGTGTGTGAGATACTTGAGGTAGAGACCTATACATATATATCCCGCTAAGCTTCACAGCAGAGGATTCAAACAGAATTACAACGGCCGACGACGTTAAATGAAAAAGTGGCGACCTTGTTTCCCTCCTCACAAAAGCAGCCCTCCGCTCTAACATCCCAGGAGAGAAAGAGAGAAAACGCAAACTGACCCATTTAGTCATGAAGTGCTTTCAACTTCCACAAAAGCTCTATATACACCCGCGTCCGCCGTCCAACCAGTATTTCAATATCTCATTAAAACTAGTTAACTGAGAGAATGTGTATAACTGTGTATTTATAGCATTTTACATGTTTTATTAAAAGGCAACATATTCTATATTAAATGTCACTGTAAACTACCATTGGTTGAGCACTGAGAACAGAGAAGGCCTCTTCGCCTGTTCATTTTCCATCCCATAGCCTATACAGTACAGTGGTAATTAGTTTCCCCAGCTGACTCCTTCCTCGTCATTAGACCGGAAGGAAGGAAGGAGTGAATGTGGAGTAAGTCAGTGTGCATGTTCTTAGCAGTATCCTCCTCGTCCTCTCGTCCTGGTACTGTAGCTAGCTGTAGCTGATCTGCATAATGCAATGGTGCTCCTCCAGAGAGAGGGCCGTCACATCCACTCATCATCTCATCTCTGCTCTATGCAACAAGGAGCTGTGTTCAGTTGACAGGAAACAGGAGAAAACCATTCGGAGGACCATGCATGAACTCCTAATACTAAGGCCGCGATTAAATACAATTTCGGGTTATGGTCATCGCGGCTTTTCCGCACCTCGGAGTCACAGTACCTCAAGGCACTGAATGAGACACAGACACATAGCCACACACATACAGAGTTCCCCAAATTGTGTGGGTGGGTGAACTACTGTGGCTGCCCTGAGAACTCTAGCGTGTTTCCTAACGGTGAGAATCTGCTCCCTGTATCTGTGTGCATGCACCAGGGGTCTGCAACAATGAGGGACCACCTAGGGCTCAAATCCACAGCCTAGCAAGGTCTTGAAGAAGACCCAACCAGTTTTGGTAGCCAATCGGTCCTCCAAATAAAACTCTAAAGCCGCCACTTTCCTGCCAAATGAGTCCCAAATGGGACAGTGAGACCCTGTACAAGGCCCAAATGTTGAGAGCACTAATCAGGATGGAATGGTTGGTGGAAATAGTGGGTGGGCAAGGGGAGACAGCAAGCAGGCCCTAATGAAGATAAAGCCATGACCAGGGTGGAGTGTATGGGGGGTATCGAGTGGCTCTGTACGTACAGTCGTGGTCAAAAGGTTTGAGAATGACACAAATATTAATTTTCAAAGTCTGCTGCCTACATTTTTATGATGGCAATTTGCATATACTACAGAATGTTATGAAGAGTGATCAGATGAATTGCAAAGTCCCTCTTTGCCATGAAAATGAACTTAAACCCCCAAAAAAAATTTCCACTGCATTTCAGCCCTGCCACAAAAGGACCAGCTGACATCATGTCAGTGATTCTCTCGTTAACACAGGTGAGTGTGTTGACGAGGACACGGCTGGAGATCACTCTGTCATGCTGATTGAGTTAGAATAACAGACTGGAAGCTTTAAAAGGAGGGTGGTGCTTGAAATCATTGTTCTTCCTCTGTTAACCATGGTTACCTGCAAGGAAACACGTGCCGTCATCATTGCTTTGCACAAAAAGGGCTTCACAGGCAAGGATATTGCTGCTAGTAAGATTGTACCTAAATCAAGAACTTCAAGGAGAGAGGTTCAATTGTTGTGAAGAAGGCTTCAGGGCGCCCAAGAAAGTCCAGCAAGCGCCAGCACCGTCTCCTAAAGTTGATTCAGCTGCGGGATCGGGGCACCACCAGTGCAGAGCCCTCTCAGGAATGGCAGCAGGCAGGTGTGAGTGCATCTGCACGCACAGTGAGGCAAAGACTTTTGGAGGATTGCTTGGTGTCAAGACGGACAGCGAGGAAGCCACTTCTCTCCAGGAAAAACATCAGGGACAGACTGATATTCTGCAAAAGGTACAGGGATTGGACTGCGGTAAAGTCATTTTCTCTGACGAATCCCCTTTCCGATTGTTTGGGGCATCCGGAAAAAAGCTTGTCCGGAGAAGACAAGGTGAGCGCTACCATCAGTCCTGTGTCATGCCAACAGTAAAGCGTCCTGAGACCATTCATGTGTGGGGTTGCTTCTCAGCCAAGGGAGTGGGCTCACTCACAATTTTGCCTAAGAACACAGGCATGAATAAAGAATGGTACCAACACATCCTCCGAGAGCAACTTCTCCCAACCATCCAAGAACAGTTTGGTGACGAACAATGCCTTTTCCAGCATGATGGAGCACCTTGCCATAAGGCAAAAGTGAGAACTAAGTGGCTCGGGGAACAAAACATAGACATTTTGGGTCCACGGCCAGGAAACTCCCCAGACCTTAATCCCATTGAGAATTTGTGGTCAATCCTCAAGAGGCGGGTGGACAAACAAAAACCCACAAATTCTGACAAACTCCAAGCATTGATTATGCAAGAATGGGCTGCCATCAGTCAGGATGTGGCCCAGAAGTTAATTGACAGCATGCCAGGGCGGATTGCAGAGGTCTTGAAAAAGAAGGGTCAACACTGCAAATATTGACTCTTTGCATAAACTTAATGTAATTGTCAATGAAAGCCTTTGACACTTGTGGAATGCTTGTAATTATACTTCAGTATACCATAGTAACATCTGACAAAAATATCTAAAAACACTGAAGCAGCAAACTTTGTGAAGACCAATACTTGTGTCATTCTCAAAACGTTTGACCACGACTGTACAGTACCAGTCAAAAGTTTGGACACACCTACTAATTCAAGGGGTTTTCTTTATTTTTACTATTTTCTACATTGTAGAATAATAGTGAAGACATCAAAACTATGAAATAACAGATATGGAATCATGTAGTAACCAAAAAAATGTTAAACAAATCAAAATATATTTTATATTTGAGATTCTTCAAATAGCATAAATAAAAGTAAAACCCTTGAATGAGTAGGTGTGTCCAACCTTTTGACTGGTACTGCATGTGTAACCCTAATGTGTGTATGTGTTCAGTTGGGCGTGTGTGAGAGTGTGTGTGTCTAACACCACGTGGCGTTTCCTCACCTGCTGAAGTCCTTCTCAGTCTCCAGTGCCTCCTCTCCGTGGCCCATACGTAGGAGGTGACGCTCGTCTATGTCCAGAGCTATGATCTTCTCAAACAGCTGGTTCAGAGCCTGGAACACACAGAACAGAGGTGAATGCCTGCACACACACACACACACACACACCTTACAGTGTTGCAGGGTGAACAGAAAGGGGACACAAGGCTTCCAACAGGTCCTATTGATATATTGGGGATAGTTCAGCATAATAATGATGTAGTCTACCATATGACAAATAGAAATGGGGGAGGGAAATATTGCGTGATGGCAATAAATGCAGCCGTTTCATAAATATCTTCAGTTATGTTAGAGGCTCCCGCTGCCAGCCAGCTGTTGTAGTAGTAAAATGCAGCTAGATCACTTTTTGATTAAATACTTGAGACTGGGGCACAGGGGAGCAACACTTTAATTTTTTGGTTGGCTTTCTCAGTGATTAATGGCACCATTTTTGGGCGGATTGGTGAATTCCTCCGGCAGCAACTTTTTTCATAAAAAGCTTCAAACATGCAATACTTTTGACTATATGGGCCATATCTATGATTATTGGGGCCTATTTGTTATCCATAACTTGCTATGGATAAAATCTTCTGCTACATGCCTATAAATGATGATATACAATGCATTCGGAAAGTATTCAGACCACTCCTGCGTGGTCTTGGCTGTGTGCTTAGGGTCGTAGTCCTGTTGGAAGGTGAACCTTTGACCCAGTCTGAGGTCCTGAGCGCTCTGGAGCAGGTTTTCATCAAGGATCTGTCTGTATTTTGCTCCGTTCATCTTTCCCTTGATCCTGACTAGTCTCCCAGTCCCTGCTGCTGAAAAACATCCCTTCAGCATGATGCTGCCACCACCATGCTTCACCGTAGGGATGGTGCAAGGTTTCTTCCAGATGTGACGCTTGGCATTCAGGCCAAAGAGTTAAATCTTGGTTTCATCAGACCAGAGAATCTTGTTTCTCATGGTCAGAGTCCTTTAGGTGCCTTTTGGCAAACTCCAGGCGGGCTGTCATGTGCATTTTACTGAGGAGTGGCTTCCGTCTGGCCACTCTACCATAAAGGCCTGATTGGTGGAGTGCTGCAGAGATGGTTGTCCTTCTGGAAAGTTCTCCCATCTCCACAGAGGAACTCTGGAGCTCTGTCAGAGTGACAAATCGGGTTCTTGGTCACATCCCTGACCAAGGCCCTTCTCCCCCGATTGCTCAGTTTGGCCAGGTGGCCAGCTCCAGGAAGAGTCTTGGTGGTTCCAAACTTCTTCCATTTAAGAATGATGGAGGCCACTGTGTTCTTGGGGACCTTCAATGCTGCAGACATTTTTGGTACCCTTCCCCAGATCTGTGCCTCGATACAATCCTGTCTCGGAGCTCTACGGACAATTTCTTCGACCTCATGGCTTGGTTTTTGCTCTGACATGCACTGTCAACTGTGGGACCTTACATAGACAGGTGTGTGCCTTTCCAAATCATGTCCAAACAATTGAATTTACCACAAGTGGACTCCAATCAAGTTGTAGAAACATCTGAAGGATGAATAATGGAAACAGGATGCACCGGAGCTCAATTTCGAGTCTCATAGCAAAGGGTCTGAATACTTATGTAAATAAGGTATCTGTTTTTCCTTTGTAATAAATTAGCCAACATTTCTAAAGACCTGTTTTCTCTTTGTCATTATGGGGTATTGGGTGTAGATGGATGAGATTTTTATTACATTTTTGAATAAGGCTTTAACGTAACAAAATGTGGAAAAAGTCAAGGGGTCTGAATACTTTCCGAATGCACAGTTTATGTCAATTTAGTCATTTTAGAGGCGTTTCCTACTTGGTTGGAGTGTGTGACTATGAGGGTTCTCTGCTCAGGGAAGTTGTGGTAGAGGTTGGAGATGATCTGGACGGCCACATCGGTCTTTCCTGTACCTGGAGGACCCACCACCTAGAGAGAGTGAGGGAGGAGGGATAGAGAGAAAGTGCACGGAGGAGAAAAAGGAGAAGGGTGGTTAGATAACAGAAAAGGCCTCTGCCACAGTGGTTCTGACAAGAAGGCCCTGTGCCTGTCAGAACACACAGTTTTCCCCTCAGTGGATCAGACAGGACCTGTGTGTGAGTAGGGCTGAGGTGAGAAGTGCTTGGCATGCAAGGTCATCCTCCCTGCACTCACAGGCAAGGACACAGAAACAGAGAGAGAACAAATAAAACTAGAGCGCCCATTAAGCTCTTTCCATTGGCTCCTTGACCTTCATTGTATCTAGTTAAGGCTTTAGAGATCATTGGGTCTAGTCTAGAACTATCACCGTCCTCAAACACATAAACACCACTACACCAGTCGGAAAGGACAGGCTCATAAACAAACTATTTGTGTTTCCATTTTCATCAGGGCTTTCCCAGGACAAAAGGTGCTCACAGACTAGCGGAGGCTACACCTGGGAATAGAGTTTACTTGACGGTATATTCATAAAACATTTATTTAGCCACCGTCTTACCTCAGGTAAGTCCTTTTAAAGCACTCGCAAAAAAGCCAGACCACTTTACAGACTGGACACCCCAAAACAGTGTAAAAACTTTAAACCTGGCCTAAAAATGGCTCCAAAACTGATCCAACAGATGATAGGCAAAGCATGGGACTGGGAGGCTGTCTTGGCTGGGAGGCTGTCTTGGCTGGGAGGCTGTCTTGGCTGGGAGGGGACTGGGAGGGGGTCTTGACTGGGAGGCGGTCTTGACTGGGAGGCGGTCTTGACTGGGAGGCGGTCTTGACTGGGAGGCGGTCTTGACTGGGAGGCGGTCTTGACTTCTAACGATTGTCGTGACATGCCAGTGAGCGATGTGTGTGTCTGTGCAGAGTTGTTTTACGACTGCCATATTTACTCCACAGCAGTCACCCAATAAATAACAGACCGACCCCTCAGCCAGCTACCGATCACCAGGCCGGGAATGAGCTTCATCAAAGCAAGGCGGTAGTGTGTGTGTGTGCTGTCACCAGGAACACTAGAGTGGGTAGTAGAGTGTGTATGTGCGTTTCTGAGAGGCTGTGTGTGTGTGCGTTTTAGTGTGTGTGCTCCATCGGCACCATTTAAGATAATTTAGCGGAGGGGCTTTCAGGGAAGTATTTCACTGGCAAGGTCTGACTGAGTTCTGCATGAGTGATGGGGATTGGGACGCCAAATAACTCCACCTTATTTACTAGTGGCTGGGGAAGTCCCCAGCCAGTCCACTGCGTCAGGCAGAGTGGTTACAAATCCTCAGCTCTTCAAGCAGACAGGGCCAATATTACACCTGTCATATCACAGCTCACTGGTATGGCGGGCCTGCTGAGGTAGCCAACATCACACTCTGGGCTATGAGTGATTGAAAGGCACAGTTTAACTCACGAGCCAATGGATGGGAGAGTTCAATTGTTGCTCAAACTTTTAATGCCGTCTGTCCATTGCCTTGGTTTATTAAAGTGGCCAGATAGGATTAGTCAATGCATATTTTTTTTTACCAACAGCTTTTTGCTAGACAATATGTTTTATTTTGACAGTATATTAAAGTATGAAAAGCAATATCAAATGGTTCCTATGAGCAGTATGAGGTCAGTTTAGTGTATTAGTATAAAAAAAAGTCAGTAGCAGACAAGAGGTATACTTAAGACAGTAAATGTTCTTACCATAGTCAGTCCAGGCTGCATCCCAGCACGGATGGCCTCAATCTGAGTTGGTGTAAACTGGATGGTATTTCTGTTCAAACACACAAAGTTTTAACTAATGGTTAGAGGATTTTAAGGAACATGTTGAAAACTTCAGAGAAGCTAAACGAGAGCTGTTTTTAACAAGCTCTGTGATGAAGAGTTCGAAAACCTCATGAAAGACATTTCAGTCAAGGGACCCAGAGGAGTTTCTGTGCCTAAAAGGATTTCAATATCAAAGTGCAACTGAAGAAGCAAAGTTACCATCAGATCAGATGAATGATAATTTTATTAACTAACAAGGCAATTAATTTCTGTTCAGTTATGATTAAGATTGATATAATTAAGACTTTGACAGTTTGTTTTGATCTAGTTTGCTACAGGGCTAAAATGTCAAGAAATTACCTCACCAAACAGAACCACCAAAACTTTACACAGCCAACAGCGCAAATCCCCAGAGCTCACGCTAACATAGCAAATCAAAACACACCAATCCGAATAAATAGAAATCAGTATAAAACGTCCCTGACAGAAATGTAAACATTTTAGAGCATTGCATTTTACAGAGCTGGGTTGTTTTTGCTCTAGGGGGAAAGGTTTGCTCTGTCAATGCCCTCAAGCATAAACTTGTCGGGCCTTTGGGGGAAGCTAAATTTGGAGCAGGCAGGCACGTTAGGGGTGGAAACACGCAGGCCCTGAGCGGAGGCTAAACAAAAAGGTGGGTGCTTTATTTAGGAGCCCTGCGGACACACTGGAGCAAGATGAGACTTGACTGGCTAGAGAGAGGACAAGGACTTGACCTCTGTGCAGTGCCAACCCTGCAGGGGCTCCTGCAGGATTTAATCTTCGAACCTCACCGTTTGGGCTGGTTGTAGGGGTAGGGCCCCCGGTTGGGCGTGACGTGAGGCTCCACTATAAGCATTTTTTCTTCCTCCTTTTTCTCCTCCTCAGAGTCTGCCTTCCTCTTCTTGCCTTTGTCTGCCTTGTTCTGCACAGGGAACTTGATTCTAGGGTGGGGAAAGAGCAGAAGGTTCAAAGATATGTTGAGGTTGGACCACATCAAAAAGACAACACCCCAGGAAGACAATGACCCCAACCCTACTCCATCTGACCCTTGACCTCTGACCTGAAGGGGGGTATCTGCAGCTTGGGGTTGTCCTCAGTGACCTTGACGGTGTAACCAGGGAAACAGGACCTCAGGTGGTCGATCGACAGGAAGGTGTCATTGAAGTCAAGGGAGGAGATCTGATTGGGCATCTTGGAGTAGTGGGCGGAGCCCGGGTCGCCATAGCCCAGGATGATGTCATGGAGCCATTCTGGGACCACACACTCAGTGTTCATCAGGTTTCTGATCGTCTCCAGGACAGCCTAGGGGAGAAAACAAAACACCAAGATAGTTAACGGCTACATTTGAATTTCCAAGATAACTGCTGGCTCTCTTGGCCATCTCTGCCAGCAGCAGCAGTCTCCAGTAGTCCAACCTGATTTAACAGAATGTGCATCGTACTACAGGCATGCCTCCAGAGATGGACGCCTAGAGAGATGAGGGGGAGGGGGGCGTGCGGTGCAAGGTCACCCATCCTCGAGGGCCTCTGTCTGGGGTCAGTGGGGGGAATCAGAGGCCTTGAGCTGGAGGTAATCCTGGATCACCCTCAGGCTTCCAGCTCCCGGACCAGGCAGTGATTGATCACCCAGGGGTGGGGTGGAGGAGAAGAGATCAAGGCCTGGCGGTGATGCTCAAATAAAGGGAGGGATGAAGGGAAGGGAAAGAGGGAGGAAGCAATAAATGGATGGATGGAAGGTGAGAGGTAGTATGAAACAAGGGAAGAAGGGATGGATATAGAGAGAGGGAGTTTAAATAACAAAGGTGGTCTGGGTCATGTGTAATGTGCAGTAACAGTCCTCCCTACTAACCTTGAAGTTGTTCTCTTTGGGCTTGCGTCTCATGATGATGTTGAAGGACTCGTAGGGGTCCTCAGTGGCGTTCTGGATGTTGCTGGTCATATCCTGCTGGTACTGGTTAGGGTCCAGCCACACTCTGAACGTCCTGGTGTCTCCTCTCAGTTTGGGCTTGGGGTCAGGGCCTGTTGAATAGGATAGGGACAACACATTGTAGTACATTATGGTCCAGATTGAATTAATAAGTATCTGCATTAAGGCAAAAAGTTTACCTGTACATTTCCAGTACGAATAAAATATATGATAGGATTTTAAACGGTTTAATATTTAAAGCTATTGTTTTTAGTATTCATTCACTTGAGAAAATAAAAACAGGCATGCAAGGTAGAAACTGTTGTGCTACGCTAAGTGATCTTGTGACATGCAACCAATGATTTATATACTGTATACACACTAGATGACCGTCAGGGGGCGCTGTTTTGAAGCCACCACACCATCTTCGCACGCCCCCACCGTTGTAAAATAATATTTTGTAAGCTATAGAAATGCATTTATTAATGTCTACATTTGTTTTTGCCACATGTATTCTGTTGCAGACACCTTAATGCATACTTTTAAATTATATTATGTGAGCTAAACATAAAAATGAAAACATTTTCCTTAAAGTATAGTTTTTCAAACGTTCTAATGTTACTGTCCCCACTACAACAAAAACATACTTAAATAAATGTAATTTTGGCCTTGAAACATTTAATTGAAATACTGTAGAATTCCATTCATTCCTATGGAGAACTGCTGCTTCTGGGGAGTGCCATTACGGCCGACCGGTGGCTTCAAAGCCTCTCACTAGCCAATACATAGCATCGGCAATCCAGGGTTTATATATACATCATTGCATGCAATTCAACTAACCCCCGAAATACAAATTCCATTTGGAGGTTTAATCGTAACCAAAGAGTTATGAAATTAATTCTCAACATATCGTCTACCAGCCAATACATGGCTAATGATGTACGGTGGGTATATGAGCCTGGCAATGTTCAACACTTATGTAACAACACAAGGACACACAGCGAGAGAGAGAGAGATTAGAGAGAAAGATGAAAGAGAGGACCACTGTCCTTGAAATCAGAGAAGCATTAGTTACACTGGCCAGACCCCCCAAAAAGACGGCCCATTTTAGGGCTCATCGTATGCCTACCATTTCATAAACACCAGGGCATCTTCCCTAGTCCCCGAGAGAGCTAAACTCTCAAATCCTAGTCCAGGCCACTCCCACCTCAGCATCCACCCCCACAGTACATTCTCATGCCACTCATCTGCCACCTCAGCACCAACACACATTTACATTCTCATGCCTCTCACACACAGGCTAGAGGCTTTAGACCTGGTGCCATAGTCCAGAGCCCTGGAAGTGAAACTCAAACCGGTAGCCCGTCCCATGTATTTCCTTTAAAGAAGTGTGGTGCGATTGACGAATGAGTGGCTGGAAGGAGGACACTAAACACACTGGGATAAAGGGCTGAGGACAGCTGGAGATGGGTGTCTGTGAAGAGCTAGGCATGTAGCCAGTAGGGAAAAGTAACCAAAATCAGATTTACGTGGTTGTATCTTTCAGCCATTTCCAGCTTTACTTTACTGACTTTTACAGCTTATAGCAATTTTGGACAGGCCAAAAAGCCCCCTTGTATATTACATTTTAAATATCTCTGGGGTTTCTGAATAAATGGAGGATAAATAAATAAACGATAGCGCCACTTTACACAAAGCGCCCAGTGATACACGTGACATGTCTGTCCCTGGCTCAGCCCTGTGGGCATCTGAAAGTTTCATAGATACACCAGCCCAGTTAGCACCGCTCTCTACATTTTTAATACAGTGGGAATATGGAGAGGAGCAAAGAGGGGACATAGTGTTTTGGTAGTGGTGCACGGACACATGTTCAGACATGGGAAAGGAGGAACACTTAGGATACCATGTCTGGAGGTTAACCTGATTTTACATCCAATCCACTCCAATAGCCTGCTCTGAACTCTGCTGGTGGAAGAAGAAGGCTCTAGGTAGAAGTTGCCTGTAGGAGGCTAAGCTCTAGGATAAGCGTACCCTTCCCCAATCATAACGTTAATCATTAGGAGGGGAAATGCAAAACGGACCTTTGATCAGGGTAACATGCCTGAATGTCTCCTTTCATAGCCAAACCACAGGGGAAAGAAAAGCCATGGCAGGCCCAGTCACAGCTTCAATAGGATGGATCTGAGACTATGGCTGTCATGTTATTCTGGAGTCTAGAGAAGCCCGTCATACAGTGCATTCGGAAAGTATTCAGACCCCTTGACTTACTCCACATTTTGTTACGTTACAGCCCTTATTATAAAACAGATTAAATCGTTTTCCCCCCTCAATCTACACACAATAACCCATAATGAGAAAGCAAAAAAAAGTTCTGAGACTTGTCCCGAAGCCACTCCTGCGTTGTCTTGGCTGTGTGCTTTGGGTCATTGTCCTGTTGGAAGGTGAACCTTTGGCCCAGTCTGAGGTCCTGAGAGCTCTGGAGCAGGTTTTCATCAAGGATCTCTCTGTACTTTGCTCTGTTCACCTTTCCCTCAATCCTGACTAGTCTCCCAGTCCCTGAAGAACATCCCCACAGCATGATGCTGCCACCACCATGCTTCACCGTAGGGATGGTGCCAGAATACGTGACGCTGGTATTCAGGCCAAAGAGTTCAATCTTGGTTTCATCAGACCAGAGAATCTTGTTTCATGGTCTGAGAGTCCTTTAGGTGCCTTTTGGCACACTCCAAGCAGGCGGTCATGTGCCTTTTACTGAGGAGTGGCTTCCGTCTGGCATCTCTACCATAAAGGCCTGATTGGTAGAGTGCTGCAGAGATGGTTATCCTTCTGGAAGATTCTCCCATCTCCACAGAAGAACTCTGGAGCTCTGTCAGAGTGACCATAAGGTTCTTGGTCACCTCCCTGAGGTGGCCCCGATTGCTCAGTTTGACCGGGCGGCCAGCTCTAGGAAGAATCTTGGTGGTTCCAAACTTCTTCCATTTAAGAATGATGGAGGCCACTGTGTTCTTGGGGACCTTCAATGCTGCAGAAATGTTTTGGTACTCTTCCCCAGATCTGTGCCTCGACACAATCCTGTCTCGGAGCTCTACGGACAATTTCTTTGACCTCAAGGCTTGGTTTTTGCTCTGACATGCACTGTCAACTGTGGGACCTTATATAGACAGTTGTGTGCCTTTCCAAATCATGTCCAATCAATTGAATTTACCACAGGTGGATTCCAATCAAGTTGTAGAAATATCTCAAGGATGATCAATGGAAACACCTGAGCGAAATTTTGTGTCTCATAGCAAAGGGTCTGAATACTTATGGAAATATGGTATTTCTGTTTTTTTTAATAAAAAGTCTGTTTTCGCTGTTTCATTATGGGGTAGTGTGTAGATTGTTGAGGGCAAAAAATAATTTAATCAATTTTAGAATAATGCTGTAACGTAACAAGATGTGGAAAAAGGGGTCTGAATACTTTCCGAATGCACTGTATAACATGTCCCTTTCTACCTCAGTAAAATAGAATAAATAAAACATTGAGAGGCGTTCAAGTGCGATGGGTTGCCCTAAGGTTAATGGAGTGTTAATGCGAACAGGTCAGGTCTCTGGTTGAGTGTCACCATGACAACCCCACCAGACCTCATGGGCTGGAAGTTAGGGGGTCGGAGGAGGATGAGGGGAAGGGTGTGTATGTGTGAGTGTGTATGGGCAGGATGTGTGTGCCGGTGTGTGTGGTGGTAGGAAGGGTATGTATGCACGTCTGTGTGTGTACGCTGGTGTGTATACAGATGCCCGTCTGAGTGCCAACCTACCTTCCTCTATGACACGGCCCTTGTCGTCCAGCATGCCCTGCACCTCGCAGCCCCTCACGTAGGCCAGGCCTGTCTGCTCCACAAAGGGCTGGCGCCGGTCGAAGCGTGTGCCGTAGGGCAGGTTCGGCCGCACCGTGACCAGAAAGCAAACATCGTGCTTACGCAGCCCTGGGAAAGGTGAGGAGAGTGAGAGAGAGAATGAGCGAGAGAAAGACAGAGAGAGACACAATGCCCCGTCAGCGCTGGGCTGATCTTTAAAACATGAAGTTCTAATTATACAAAGGGGAGGAGGATATTGACATGACATTGAGCCATCCTCCTGCACTCAGAGGTTTGCTAGGTATGGTTGGAGAGCAGAGATTCCTTTAGTAAAACTATAGATTTATTTTTAATTAATCAATTCACTGTAATTGACCAGCACAATTTCCATATCCTTATACTTTCCCTGGCTTGAGCGCCAGCATTTCATCCTTTATTCTTCAAAACATTCCTCTTTGCTAGAACAACCTATATCATCTCTTGCTAGCTACAGTCAGCCAGTGTTGTATGGTTGGATATGCTCATGGTAAAACGATGAATCTTGATTTATTAGGATCCCCATTAGCCGACGCCAATGGCGACAGCTAGTCTTACTGGGGTCCGACACAATCAATGCCAGGGAGGCCAACATTATCTACAGTAGCCCTGCTGCACCCGTTGGGGGAAGCAGATGAGGAAATAAAACACTGAAGCCAAGTGGTCAGGGCTGGTAGGAAACAACATGTCTACAGGCAGACAAGGCTAGAGGAGGTCACAGGTCAAGGTACAGCAGGATTGGATATAGAGGTCTGGATGAAAATACTTTATGGAGGACATAAAGGCTTTATTATTGAGATGTTGGAGTGGGATCCATAGAAAGATAGAGGGAGGGAGACAGTGGATGAGAAAAGGAGTATAAAAGAAAAGAGACGGGGGATAGAGTGAATGCTGAAAGGAAGAAAAGAGAGGGGGAGCGCGAGAGAGCAGGGGATAGAGAAAGGAGAGGTAGGAGAAAAGAGCCATGTACCTTCCCACTCGTGTTTGATGTGGTCTCGTACGTTGAGATTCACAGTGATGTCAGCTCGGACGCGGGCGGGCCAGTTCTCTCCGATGTTGGGCTTGGCCACCTCCACAATGGAGAAGGCTGTGATGGTCTGAGCCATCCTGGCCCAGCCCCCAAACACCACACCACCATACTCTGACTGCCTATAGGAAGACAAGACAACAGGTCAACCCCCAAAACACCACACCACCATACTCTGACTGCCTGAATATGTCATAGAAATTGAGTTATGATATATGAGTGATACAAAATTATAAATTTGAAGGAAACAGAAATGTGGCAACCTTATTTTACCATCAGTTATAAGTGTGTGTGCGTTCTCTGCTCACCATGGTTTCATGCGAGTCACCACGTCCTCCACATCCTGTCTGATCTCGTAGGTGGACTCCAGACGGAACAGGTTGAAGTTTCTCAGCAGGTAGTCGTGGAGGGTCAGGAACTGCAGGTTCAGCTTAGGCAGAGCCAGACAACCTGGAACACACACACACACACACAAAGACTAAACAGAGAGATTTGGGTACAAATGCTCAGAATTGGATGCATGTCATTGGTATAGACCTATTACCTACACATCTATTTCAGTGTAACATAAATAGGGCCTTGTGTTTTCCCTGACCATTAACAATTCTGGACCCACTTGACCAGGACAATCCCTTTGATAGAACAGTGGCAGAGTTGACTATACGGCTAGTTTAAACCTGTAATCTCTTGGCAGGCTAAAACAGATAGCCTTATAGATGTCGATAGGCTCATGGATTTCAATGGGTTTATGGGGCTGTAGGCATCTTAGCTGGTGAAGGTGCCCCTGCCGGCCTAAAGAGGATTGCCCATTAAGAGGATGCCAGCTCAGTGACCCTGAGGTGTGGGATAACAGCGGTGTGTGTGTGTGATGAGTTTGCGAGGAGATACCGTAGACAGACACACAGACCTTCGCCAGAATAGTACTCAGTGGGGACGATGTTCTCATCCCAGATAATCTTCTCTGTTGGATAAAGAGGCATCTGATTAAGTTGCTCGATCTGGGAGATTCTCCTCTCATGACGAGACACCTGGAAGTGTGTGTGAGAAGGAAGAAAGAGATGGAGAAAGAAATGTGATTAATGAGCCATTGGCCCACTCTGGCACTGACTGCCCTTACAAGACGTATCCTCCCCCTCACTCACTAGATCACAGACAGTGGTATTAAAAACAATGTTTTAATCGGGTCAGACGCATTGCATCACACCAGTCACCGTCCGTTTGTCATTACAAACCCCACATTCATACTGTTGGGCTCTTATCTCCTTAGTTAGCCTGCCAGCTGTGTGTGTGTGTTTTAGCCTATATAATCCCTGTGTTCCCATATGTGAGCAGTCAGTCAATATCCGCCATGCTACGCTAATCCTGTTACACTGCTGTGTTCCCTGCCAGTCACCATCTAACCCAGGGTTGTCATAGTCATCCATCCTGTTACACTGCTGTGTTCCCTGCCAGTCACCATCTAACCCAGGGTTGTCATAGTCATCCATCCTGTTACACTGCTGTGTTCCCTGCCAGTCACCATCTAACCCAGGGTTTTGTCATAGTCATCCATCCTGTTACACTGCTGTGTTCCCTGCCAGTCACCATCTAACCCAGGGTTGTCATAGTCATCCATCCTGTTACACTGCTGTGTTCCCTGCCAGTCACCATCTAACCCAGGGTTGTCATAGTCATCCATCCTGTTACACTGCTGTGTTCCCTGCCAGTCACCATCTAACCCAGGGTTTTGTCATAGTCATCCATCCTGTTACACTGCTGTGTTCCCTGCCAGTCACCATCTAACCCAGGGTTGTCATAGTCATCCATCCTGTTACACTGCTGTGTTCCCTGCCAGTCACCATCTAACCCAGGGTTTTGTCATAGTCATCCATCCTGTTACACTGCTGTGTTCCCTGCCAGTCACCATCTAACCCAGGGTTTTGTCATAGTCATCCATCCTGTTACACTGCTGTGTTCCCTGCCAGTCACCATCTAACCCAGGGTTTTGTCATAGTCATCCATCCTGTTACACTGCTGTGTTCCCTGCCAGTCACCATCTAACCCAGGGTTTTGTCATAGTCATCCATTAGGGACTGGCAGAGAGGTCCATAGAGATCTAGACCCTATGCCCCGATTGAGAATAACGTTCAGTTCATATACCTCTGACAATTATTGCAAAACTATGCAAAACCTAACAAATATCATAATGTTGGATCAAATTCACAGCAATCCAGGTAATCTCAAGTCCCCAACTTCCCCTAAGAAATCATTCAACAGAGGAAAAACGATAACCTGTTCAGAATTCAAGAGTGGTTGGTTAATGTCTTTGAGGAATTAAGTAAATACACATCAGAACAGTGATAGCTAGAGGCTGAACACACAGCATAACTCTAGTCAGCTCATCCTCTCCTTCCCAGGTTTAATTACAGACTCTCTCTGCAGTGTCTGTGTTAGCTGCTCTGCTCTGCTCCCTACCGTACAGCACAGCGCTCCAAGCCTCTGACACAGACACACAGTACCAAAGTGGAATCTTTGGAGATTTTCGGTTGCCCAGGGCAACCCGGGGCCAAATGAGTCCCCTGACATTTGCTCTGGGAACAATCTAATCAGCTAATTATGGAAAAGCTTATCTTCAGTAGTGGGGAGAGGAGGCCTAGAGAAGACTTGAAGTGGGTAATTACAGTAGTAAGGATGGAGCAGGTCAGTGGATGGGCTGGTCGCTTGGTGATGGAGGGTTATGGGGGATGAGACTTGTCTTCAACACACTGGATGCCTGTTTTTAGAAGGGACTAAGGGTGTGTGTGTGGAGAGCAATCAGATCCACTGTTGTCTTTTCCTAGGATAAGAGAAACCTTGCTGGGGTGGGGGGTTGCATACTGTATGTATTCCAAGGTCAAAAGCATAAATTAATGTTTTTTAAACGAGCCACAAAAACCCGTTATGCCGCTACTCTCTCAAGGCGGTTATTGTTCTGTAAATGACCATATCCTGACGTTGCTGCTATTTAGCCAAGCTGTAAATAGAGAGGGGTTCTCTCATTCTCTCATGCTTAAGAACATCTTGGGGGGCGTCTCAGTATCATTCACTTCCCATCACCCCTAACCACAGATCGAGGTTCAGATTACCCTTTCCCCATTCCTAACTTAAAGCATTAGGACGATGACATAAATATCTGACCCTCGATCAGTGGTTAGGGACAACTTCTCCCTGCTTAGTAGCAGCACCTACCAGCAGCTCCAGGAGGACCTCCTTCTCATAGGTGGTGTCCTGTCCATCTGCCAGCTCTGGTAAGAGGCATAGATACGAGGCCACCCGGTGGAGAGTGTTGGAACTGCAGGGAGGGGGGGGAAACAGCATATTTACATTTAAGTCATTTAGCAGACGCTCTTATCCAGAGCGACTTACAGTTAGTGAGTGCATACATTTTCATACTGGCCCCCCGTGGGAAACGAACCCACAACCCCAGCGTTGCAAGTGCCATGCTCTACCAACTGACCTACAATTAATTAATTAATATATATATATATATATATACTGCTCAAAAAAATAAAGGGAACACTTAAACAACACATCCTAGATCTGAATGAATGAAATAATTTTTACATAGTTGAATGTGCTGACAACAAAATCACACAAAAATTATCAAAGGAAATCAAATTTATCAACCCATGGAGGTCTGGATTTGGAGTCACCCTCAAAATTAAAGTGGAAAACCACACTACAGGCTGATCCAACTTTGATGTAATGTCCTTAAAACAAGTCAAAATGAGGCTCAGTAGTGTGTGTGGCCTCCACGTGCCTGTATGACCTCCCTACAACGCCTGGGCATGCTCCTGATGAGGTGGCGGATGGTCTCCTGAGGGATCTCCTCCCAGACCTGGCCTAAAGCATCCGCCAACTCCTGGACAGTCTGTGGTGCAACGTGGCGTTGGTGGATGGAGCGAGACATGATGTCCCAGATGTGCTCAATTGGATTCAGGTCTGGGGAACAGGCGGGCCAGTCCATAGCATCAATGCCTTCCTCTTGCAGGAACTGCTGACACACTCCAGCCACATGAGGTCTAGCATTGTCTTGCATTAGGAGGAACCCAGGGCCAACCGCACCAGCATATGGTCTCACAAGGGGTCTGAGGATCTCATCTCGGTACCTAACGGCAGTCAGGCTACCTCTGGCGAGCATATGGAGGCCCCCCAAAGAAATGACACCCCACACCATGACTGACCCACCGCCAAACCGGTCATGCTGGAGGATGTTGCAGGCAGCAGAACGTTCTCCACGGCATCTCCAGACTCTGTCACATGTGCTCAGTGTGAACCTGATTTCATCTGTGAAGAGCACAGGGCGCCAGTGGCAAATTTGCCAATCTTGGTGTTCTCTGGCAAATGCCAAATGTCCTGCACGGTGTTGGGCTGTAAGCACAACCCCCACCTGTGGACGTCGGGCCCTCATACCACCCTCATGGAGTCTGTTTCTGACCGTTTGAGCAGACACATGCACATTTGTGGCCTGCTGGAGGTCATTTTGCAGAGCTCTGGCAGTGCTCCTCCTGCTCCTCCTTGCACAAAGGCAGCTAGCAGTCCTGCTGCTGGGTTGTTGCCCTCCTACGGCCTCCTCCACGTCTCCTGATGTATGGCCTGTCTCCTGGTAGCGCCTCCATGCTCTGGACACTACGCTGACAGACACAGCAAACCTTCTTGCCACAGCTCGCATTGATGTGCCATCCTGGATGAGCTGCACTACCTGAGCCACTTGTGTGGGTTGTAGACTCCGTCTCATGCTACCACTAGAGTGAAAGCATCACCAACATTCAAAAGTGACCAAAACATCAGCCAAGAAGCATAGGAACTGAGAAGTGGTCTGTGGTCACCACCTGCAAAACCAGTCCTTTATTGGGGGTGTCTTGCTAACTGCCTATAATTTCCACCTGTTGTCTATTCCATTTGCACAACGGCATGTGAAATTTGTCAATCAGTGTTGCTTCCTAAGTGGACAGTTTGATTTCACAGAAGTGTGATTGACTTGGAGTTACATTGTGTTGTTTAAGTGTTCCCTTTATTTTTTTGAGCAGTGTATATATATATATATATATATATATATATATATATATATATATATATATATATATATATATATATATATATATATATATATATATATATATATATATATATATACACACAGTGAGGGAAAAAAGTATTTGATCCCCTGCTGATTTTGTACGTTTGCCCACTGACAAAGACATGATCAGTCTATAATTTTAATGTTAGGTTTATTTGAACAGTGAGAGAAAGAAAAAAACTCCAGAAAAACTGTTATGAATTGATTAGCATTTTAATGAGGGAAATAAGTATTTGACCCCTCTGCAAAACATGATTTAGTACTTGGTGGCAAAACCCTTGTTGGCAAACATAGAGGTCAGACGTTTCTTGTAGTTGGCCACCAGGTTTGCACACATCTCAGGAGGGATTTTGTCCCACTCCTCTTTGCAGATCTTCTCCAAGTCATTAAGGTTTCGAGGCTGACGTTTGGCAACTCAAACCTTCAGCTCCCTCCACAGATTTTCTATGGGATTAAGGTCTGGAGACTGGCTAGGCCACTCCAGGACCTTAATGTGCTTCTTCTTGAGCAACTCCTTTGTTGCCTTGGCCGTGTGTTTTGGGTCATTGTCATGCTGGAATAGCCATCCACGACCCATTATCAATGCCCTGGCTGAGGGAAGGAGGTTCTCACCCAAGATTTGATGGTACATGGCCCCGTCCATCGTCCCTTTGATGCGGTGAAGTTGTCCTGTCCCCTTAGCAGAAAAACATCCCCAAAGCATAATTTTCCCACCTCCATGTTTGACGGTGGGGATGGTGTTCTTGGGGTCATAGGCAGCATTCCTCCTCCTCCAAACATGGCGAGTTGAGTTGATGCCAAAGAGCTCGATTTTGGTCTCATCTGACCACAACACTTTCCCCCAGTTCTCCTCTGAATCATTCAGATGTTCATTGGCAGCCTTCTGACGGCCCTGTATGTGTGCTTTCTTGAGCAGGGGGACCTTGCGGGCACTGCAGGATTTCAGTCCTTCACGGCGTAGTGTGTTACCAATTGTTTTCTTGGTGTCTATGGTCCCAGCTGCCTTGAGATCGTTGACAAGATCCTCCCGTGTAGTTCTGGGCTGATTCCTCACCGTTCTCATGATCATTGCAACTCCACGAGGTGAGAGCTTGCATGGAGCCCCAGGCCGAGTGAGATTGACAGGTCTTTTGTGTTTCTTCCATTTGCGAATAATCGCACCAACTGTTGTCACCTTCTCACCAAGCTGCTTGGCGATGGCCTTGTAGCCCATTCCAGCCTTGTGTAGGTCTACAATCTTGTCCCTGACATCCTTGGAGAGCTCTTTGGTCTTGGCCATGGTGGAGAGTTTGGAATCTGATTGATTGATTGCTTCTGTGGACATGTGTCATTTATACAGGTAACAAACTGAGATTAGGAGCACTCCCTTTAAGAGTGTGCTCCTAATCTCAGCTCGTTACCTGTATAAAAGACACCTGGGAGCCAGAAATCTTTCTGATTGAGAGGGGGTCAAAAACGTATTTCCCTCACTAAAATGCATATCAATTTATAACATTTTTGACATGCATTTTTCTGGATTTTGTTGTTTTTATTCTGTCTCTCACTGTTCAAATAAACCTACCATTAAAATGATAGACTGATCATTTCTTTGTCAGTGGGCAAACGTACAAAATCAGCAGGGGATCAAATACTTTTTCCCCTCACTGTTTGTGTGTGTGTGTATATATATATATATATATATCATGCTTTACAAGAGTGGTATATTTTCTGCTAAGTCAGTCTGTTTTTTACAACGAAGACCCAGGGGTAGAAATGCACATTCAGGAGAATATTTACAGTGTGCTGATTATTCTATTTTTCTGAGGAAAATTCCCCTATTCCAGTGTCCGGGTCGCTACCTTTCATTTGACAATATGAAAAGTGCCACATTTTCCCAACATATAGCCTGTTTCTTAAATCTGTGCTTGTTAGCATGGTGACGTAATGTATGCTAGTCCTCGTATTTTCCTCAACTATGCCCTGCTAGGTAGGGCCACTGCAGTCCTACACTGTCAGCATGGCGTGTACAGTCGTGGTCAAAAGTTTTGAGAATGACAAGTATTGGTCTTCAAAGTTTGCTGCTTCAGTGTTTTTAGATATTTTTGTCAGATATTACTATGGTATACTGAAGTATAATTACAAGCATTCCACAAGTGTCAAAGGCTTTCATTGACAATTACATTAAGTTTATGCAAAGAGTCAATATTTGCAGTGTTGACCCTTCTTTTTCAAGACCTCTGCAATCCGCTCTGGCATGCTGTCAATTAACTTCTGGGCCACATCCTGACTGATGGCAGCCCATTCTTGCATAATCAATGCTTGGAGTTTGTCAGAATTTGTGGGTTTTTGTTTGTCCACCCGCCTCTTGAGGATTGACTACAAATTCTCAATGGGATTAAGGTCTGGGGAGTTTCCTGGCCGTGGACCCAAAATGTCGATGTTTTGTTCCCCGAGCCACTTAGTTCTCACTTTTGCCTTATGGCAAGGTGCTCCATCATGCTGGAAAAGGCATTGTTCGTCACCAAACTGTTCTTGGATGGTTGGGAGAAGTTGCTCTTGGAGGATGTGTTGGTACCATTCTTTATTCATGCCTGTGTTCTTAGGCAAAATTGTAAGTGAGCCCACTCCCTTGGCTGAGAAGCAACCCCACACATGAACGGTCTCAGGATGCTTTACTGTTGGCATGACACAGGACTGGTGGTAGCACTCACCTTGTCTTCTCCAGACAAGCTTTTTTCCAGATACCCCAAACAATTGGAAAGGGGTTTCTTCAGAGAAAATGACTTTACCCCAGTCCTCAGCAGTCTAATCCCTGTACCTTTTGCAGAATATCAGTCTGTCCATTATGTTTTTCCTGGAGAGAAGTGGCTTCCTCGCTGCCCTTCTTGACACCAGGCCATCCTCCAAAAGTCTTTGCCTCACTGTGCGTGCAGATGCACTCACACCTGCCTGCTGCCATTCCTGAGCAAGCTCTGCACTGGTGGTGCCCCGATCCCGCAGCTGAATCAACTTTAGGAGACGGTCCTGGCACTTGCTGGACTTTCTTGGGCGCCCTGAAGCCTTCTTCACAACAATTGAACCTCTCTCCTTGAAGTTCTTGATGATCCGATAAATGGTTGATTTAGGTGCAATCTTACTAGCAGCAATATCCTTGCCTGTGAAGCCCTTTTTGTGCAAAGCAATGATGACGGCACGTTTCCTTGCAGGTAACCATGGTTAACAGAGGAAGAACAATGATTTCAAGCACCACCCTCCTTTTAAAGCTTCCATTCTGTTATTCTAACTCAATCAGCATGACAGAGTGATCTCCAGCCTTGTCAACACTCATTTTCATGGCAAAGAGGGACTTTGCAATTAATTGCAATTCATCTGATCACTCTTCATAACATTCTGGAGTATATGCAAATTGCCACCATAAAAACTGAGGCAGCAGACTTTGTGAAAATTAATATTTGTGTCATTCTCAAAACGCTTGACCACGACTGTACAGGGGATCGATGCGACGCGATTATTAAAATCCAACCGCATCTCCATCTCTCAGAGCTGAGGCAGAGGGTTGAGGCTGCTCTCTGCATTAATCAGACTGACGTGACATGTGCCAGGGATTGGTAATAAAGAGAGACTGTGACAGAGTCCTGTACAGACGGACAGGAACACGTGTCATTGTGAGCAGTAGTGTGGGCAGGCTCGTGATGATGCCATGGTTTGACCACACGGATCCGGGGGTTTTGCTGACCATGCAGTTGGTCAGTCTAGGGACTGGATGGGTCACGCTGCTGTACTATACTCCCTTCATGACAAAGCAAAAATAGCTGCTTATTTTGAGTTGTTAAGGAGATGAATGTAGCAATTATCTCAATATAAGATAATTTCTGGATAACAATTAAGTACCTTCCTGTAATTGTTTTCGAATAAAAAGGGTAAAAAAGAAACAAAAATAGCTTCTAAGCAAAGAGCAATTTCTCAAGCAATAATTTTGCTGGGACTATCTGAGAAGGGAGGGGAAAACTGAAAACTAGCCATTATTGGCAGAGAGGTATGAAACTCTTATTTTATTGGTCTATTAACTAATTCACCACCTGGTGATTTCACAAGGCAGGCCAAAACTCCATTCCACCAGAACAGGCTGAAAGCTCTTACACCAACAGGGCATTATCATAATTTTCACAATATTATTCCAACCTCATAGTGTGGAAATATATATATAAAACACAGGAAAATCATGTTTATTACTGCACTGGGCCATTAAAACTGAAAGGGAAAAATACTGTGTGTGTGGTTTGGGTACTTAACAGATCAATCGGGAATAGTGGACGAGTGGCAGCTTAGTTTGTGGGTAGCACAGCTGAAATAGTTGGCATTAAAAATAGGGTTTTCTGGATAAAAAGTGCCTTTTTAAAAGTGATGGGCATATTTGGAGTTTCCAGAGCCGCTTTGAAGCCAGTGGGGCGACTGGATAACAATGCAGAGCCTGGCTTTATTCATGAGAACAATAATACACAGAAGAAAAATAGAGCTTTGGGATAAATTCACACAAAAACAGCACGGATACTTCACTACCTGGCTTGCTGAGACCCAGTGTTAACTATGTCAAACTCAGCAGCACCTAGGACCAGCAGGAAAGGAGACAAGGATAGGACACACACACACAATTGATTCTTCTCCCGCCCCAGTCTATATCACACACACTTTACCTGAGATGGCCAAACTGTTTTGTAAGGGATTCCCGTGTGTCCACTGCTGCCACATTGGACAGGGCAAAGTCCTGCAGCTCCGGGAAATGGGCAAAGGCTGCCCTCTGAAAGACAACACACAAACATTAAAGCAGGTGCAAACACCACCCACCCCACACACTTCAGAGCCAGTGTGATGTCAGGCAGGCTTTCCCTCATTTATTAATCCAGCATCTATGTGGGGCTAGAGAGAGGTATGGGAAAGAGAGAGAGATGGACAGATGGAGAGGCAAGCTAAGAACAGATGAACCAGCCTGTATATTTCCCTGAAGATGCATTTCATCATTTCAAGTTGAGAGGTAAAAATGCATGAAACTAGTTTGACACTGACATTTATTGAGAATTCTCTCTAGGACTGAAATTTGACTTGATATTATTTATTGTAAAAGACATCTGGAAGCTGTCACTAAATCCTGAATGATTCATATTCGTACATGTTTTACTCACAGCACGGGCCACGTCTCCCAGGTGCACAACTCTCTCGCTCTATCTTTAACGCTTAAATGTGCCAATAATGTTTACAACTATCCCTATCAAATTAACTATTTGAATACACAATACATTCTTAACTAGACAGGTAAGGAACACTAACAAAATGGAGGCAAGCATGGTGTTGTATGCATGTACCTGCAGTGATGTGATTCTGTCATAGTGGAGCGTGGTCATCTCCTTCTCTGTCAGGGCGTTGCCCGTCTGGTCGTTGATCTCAAAGCCTGTGTAGAACTTCAGCATGTCCAGTAACTGGCAGAAGAGGTGTCCCTCCTTCTCTCTCTGCATGAGGATGGACAGGTGGCAGCTCACCACCAGGTGGGAGTCGTCCAGCACCGTGTTGAACCAGCGCCTGGTGGGCAGCAGGGCCTGAAGACAGACATGGAACAACGCATTACACATCATGGTAAAACAATGCTGAAACAGAAGCCTTTATACGAGACCAGAGCCTCAATAATTATGATTGAAGAAAAAAAAAGAGATTCTTCACACATACACATATAAAAGCCCCAGAAAGACAACACACATTCCAACAGTGAAAAACAAGGGTCTCAGTCAGAATGTTAACAAACACAATGAGGGTGTTATATAATCCAGCCTACTATTACTATGCAGCCGAGGCCTGTAGCTGATAACAAGCAGAGACGGTGCAACATCAGAACCAGGCTTAGTCCATGTATGGATTGACTCGGTCTCTGGGGTCATTCAGATCAATGCATCTACAAACCAGAATTCCCAGCATTGAGGCCCAGAGTATAAATAGGCCCCTATTGATTCAGGGTCTATTTCAGAAGGTTGTTTTCGACTCTTTATTTCACAGATGAGGGTTAGAGAGTTCAAATTTTTTAAGAAAACAATGAAAATGTCAACCGCAGAACCTCAATGTATTCCATTGAATTCACCTCTCTACAGAGGGAAGGTGCTGCAAATGATACTACCCTCTCACAGACAGACAGACAGACAAGCTTTATGTACAGCAGCCATCTTTGATCTCCACAGAGCCATGACAGATAGACAGCTCAGCCTAACACACATGTAAAATGTAGGGTCTCTTTTTCCTTACAGAGATTCACAGGGCATTATCATATCATCCCAGAGAGGGAAGTATGAGATTTCAGCCATCCCTTTGTAAAATGATACTGCTGAGGGGGAAAGGATTTCTCCAGAGGCAGCTTGTCTTGCCAGTACCGGGGGGGAAAAGTATAGCCTGTCATCAGACGGAGGAGAAATCAATTCATCCTATCCTCCCTGTGTGTAAACAGTAGCACCGTTGCCTTGCAGCCTGGAGAGGGAAGGAACCATCTTGACTATGTGACACACTTGCTACATGTAATCATAAAGCCAGACCACAGAGACAATAAGAAAAAACGCTACATTGTGACCTTACACACCTCCATCGCTCTACGCTAGAAATAACCTTTCTTTTCTCACAGTCATCAAAAACCAGTCATTCAGGGACAGGATTCCATACTCAACACAGATCAAGACCAAAATAGCTGTATAGGTAGGTACAGCGAACTCACTAGCGTCTTTGCATGCTCAGTGAATGCAGATATTCAGTTGATCCTATATAAAATGGCTGCCTGGTACCCTTCATAAATACACAACAAGACCATAGTGTCCCTTATAAATGTTTCTTACCTCCAGGTCAATCATGAGCTCGATGAACCTCTCGCAGTAGTGCACCTTCTCCATGGGTACAGGGCCTGAGAGAGACAACACAGGGAGTCGTTCAATTCAGATTAGGTAATAACATACATGACCATACACTCTGCCATCACACACTAAAACACAGGAGGGAATGGGGGGATGAAGGGATGTGGCCCAGCCGTGCACGGAGACCGCGTGTGTGAGTCTTCCTCAGGCACTGCAGCGCACTGGGAGATCAGCCCTCATTAGGGGAGGTGTATGTTTGTGTATGTGTGTGTGTGTGTATGGGTCCCCGTGCTGTGTACCAGGACTCTGACAGGGAGGATTAGAGTCGGGGGTCACAGCATGACCACCTTCACCTAGCTGCATGTTGGGAGAGATGCTATTCTGAGCACTCAGGTTGGCTGGGTGGGGAGGGGGGTCTGTGTCACCCTGCATTACGTCACCATGGAGGCGAAGAGGGGGAGCATCTGGACATTGCTGCTCTTTCAGAGTGGGGGTCAAGTCAGAAAGAAAGGATAGAGGGTTGAAAAGGTGTGTCTCACACCCGTAATGAGGTCTGGGCTGAGAGAAGATGACACCTGAGACAGGGCTGGACTGTAGAGATGTCACATAGAGATGAGGCCTGCGCATAGATAAAGACTATCAAAGATCTTTGGCTCGTCACACGTGCCTGGGGTGTCCTAGTTTGCCACTGGTAGGGAAGGGAAGGGAAAGGGGATACCTAGTCAGTTGTACAACTGAATGCATTCAAATGAAATGTGTCTTCCACATTTAACCCAACGCGGGGGGCTGCCTTAAGCGACATCCTCGTCATCGGCGCCTGGGGAGCAGTTATCGTTAGGGGTTAACATTTACGTCATTTAGCAGACGCTCTTATCCAGAGCGACTTACAGGAGCAATTAGGGTTAAGTGCCTTGCTCAAGGGCACATCGACAGATTTTTCACCTAGTCGGCTCGGGGATTAGAACCAGCGACCTTTCGGTTACTGGCACAACGCTCTTACCCACTAAGCTACCTGCCTTGCCCTTGAGCAACAACTGTTCCCCGCCCTCAGAACAACAGATTTTTTTCCTACCTTGCCGGCTCTGGGATTTGAACCAGCAACCTTTTGGTTACTGGCCCAATGCTCTTAACCGCTAGGCTGTCTGCCGCCAGAGTAAGATTTGTACCTCTCTGCTAACTTTTAAAATAAATTGGCACAACAAGGTGTGACACATTTTTCTGTATGAGGACTATTTTTTGCCTTGAGAATCTCTCTTCTGCCTGCTGCTTGTGGGGAATAATAAAACACTGCTTTGTTCATAAATCATAACTGTGTTGCTAAATGCTTACCTGCTGGGGAGATGGACATCAGAACACCCAGAAACTTCTTAATGAGCGCAGAGAGGAACGTCCTCTCCATCTTAGCTCTGGAAATAAAGGCAGGGAAATAATAATTAGTGACACACATCACAACACTGTGCCTTTGATTGGACTATTTATACAGGCAGAGGGAGAAGGTATTTCTACTGGTCCAGATACAAACAGAAGTTATATTTCTACTGGTCCAGATACAGGCAGAAGTTATATTTCTACTGGTCCAGATACAGGCAGAAGTTATATTTCTACTGGTCCAGATACAGGCAGAAGTTATATTTCTACTGGTCCAGATACAGGCAGATGGAGGTCTATTTCTACTGGTCCTGATAAAGGCAGAGGGAGGTTTATTTCTACTGGTCCAGATACAGGCAGAAGTTATATTTCTACTGGTCCAGATACAGGCAGAAGTTATATTTCTACTGGTCCAGATACAGGCAGAAGTTATATTTCTACTGGTCCAGATACAGGCAGAAGTTATATTTCTACTGGTCCAGATACAGGCAGAAGTTATATTTCTACTGGTCCAGATACAGGCAGAGGGAGGTCTATTTCTACTGGTCCTGATAAAGGCAGAGGGAGGTTTATTTCTACTGGTCCAGATACAGGCAGAAGGTCTATATCTACAGGTCCAGATACAGACAGAGGGAGAAGGTCTATTTCTACTGGTCCAGATACTGGTCCAGATACTGGCAGAAGGTCTATTTCTACTGGTCCAGATACAGGCAGAAGGTCTATTTCTACTGGTCCAGATACAGGCAGAAGGTCTATTTCTACTGGTCCAGATACAGGCAGAAGGTCTATTTCTACTGGTCCAGATACAGGCAGAAGGTTAAGGTCTATTTCTACTGGTCCAGATACAGGCAGAAGGTGAAGGTCTTACTGCTCTGAAGCTTTGTCTTCCAGCTTGTCAAAATTCTTCTTGATCAGATTCCAAAACTTTTGGAGCTTGGGAACTTTCTTCAGCTCATGTTGCAGTCTAGACTGTAAAGATGACAGATAGTGTGTTCATTAATCAATCTTAAGGATGCTATAAAAGAGAGCAAAACTCAAACTTTGACCTAGGAAAGTTGTTTTTGGCTCAACAACCCTATTCCACATAATCAATCACAATTTGTAAATGTGGAAAATATTGTCACAATTTTAAACATAATCCATATCTAACAGAGTGACAGTTCTAAGGACATGGGAGCACTGGAGAAAAAGGGAAGAGGAGTTCTTACAGGTAAGAGACACATCCACATGGGCAGTGAGATTAGCTGCTGCACCTGCTCTCTAATCAAATCCACCTCCTGAGAGAGAGAGAGAGAGAGTTGGTAGAATAATGGCAACGCACCAAATAGATTAGAACCATTGCATTCAGTTCAGGAGAAGCAGAGGGGATGAAAATAGATTTTCAGAGTGAGACTGGTGCAGTGGCTACTCATGGTTTTGAGCAGGGGTGGAGAATACAGATGTGCTAGGGTGGCACCCAAGTACACAAAGCTTTGAAGTGTAATACTGCCACCTAGTGGAACCTGCACCAAACTACTTTTCTTAAAACCAACTACAGGGAGTTTCCCCCTCCCTTCTGCTCTTGTTTGCTCATCTTCGTGGCTCTGAGACTACTGGGTAGGCATAAGCAGTAGCTCCATCTAGCTTCAGCTTTGCTGCTTTCACCTATCCATTCTCATTAGGTCAGGGAAAGGGGAGTGAACAAGGGCAGAGGAAAGGGACTCTTCATTCTATGGTTGTTACTAACATAATTTTGCAATAAAACAATGTATTACTCAACTTATATTATGTTGTCGATATAATAACTAATTCCCCATTTCCAGAGAGGTAGATATTGGTTGGTGTGGGACATACCAGGCTGTTGAAGCAGTGGTCGAGGAAAACCAACAGTACAGTCTGCTCCTTCAGAGTCAGGCCAGCCTCCTCTCCAGCCAGCACGGCCTCCATCACACACTTAAAGAAGTAGGGGAAGTGTGTTGGCTCCTTCTTAAACACCTGGATAAAGATAATAAACCAAGGGATAAAGAGGACATGCATTGATATTAGAGGAGATTGATCAATGCTCGCTGGAGACATCTGCCCTAAGTAGCTGTAACACTGGGGCTGTCCCTGTACAGCTGACACACAACACCCATATTCACAACAACATAGCATGGTTACCAACACACTCGATGTTAACGCAGCTAAGAATTTGCTAAGTGAACCAAAGGGACAAACAAGGATCAACATTTCTGTTTGACAGGCCACTGAATCCATTACCTCCCAGGCAGGGACGTTCTCTCTGAACTTCTCATTGACTATGCAGCAGATGGACATGAGGTAGGCATTACTGGGGACCTCAGGATTATAGTTCACCCACAGGTAGTTCTCCAGGTACTGACTGAGAGGCAGGACACAAATAGCATGTTAAAAACTGCAAATGACTGATAATAATGTATTGAGGCCACATTAAAAATGTCAAAAACCCACCTGAACTCCAACAACATGATCTTCCTAATGGCGAACCTGAAGATAAAATAGCAGACGTGGAGGATTTATACTACTGGTAAGAAGAGTTAACGTTACAAAATACTGATGTTATTCAAGAGTTGAGTTCACTCACTTGGACTTGAGAATCTCTTTCTCATAGACATCCTCCAAGACCTGAGTGGGTGACAATAATAGTTTGTTAGAGCAAGCAGACCATCTCCTCCACTATATTCATAACTCAAGTTTGTAAGTAGGAGGCTCACCTTTGGGTCAAAAGGTAGTTTATTCTTGGCATGGGGCGCCCAGTATCTGTTAGCCAACTTAGAGAAGAAAGAGTGTTATTATAACAGCAACCCACAGTACATCCCCTCCTCTGAAATCCTATGGGCGGAATGAAAACCTCCCTCTCCAAAATTCAAAAGATGTCAACCAGGGCTGCGTTCAGTAAGAAAAAACGGTGTGCAATGTTCAAATAAACGGAAACGGTACTGTTCTGAACGACCCGTTGAAAAACGGGGAGTGGTTGTGGAATACCGTCAGCAACGTAGCAAATGCCGCAACGTAGCAAACATTCAAGCGAACTGAACGCACCCCAGGTGTAGGTACACCCCCGTCAAATAATCAGTGACATAAAAAAAAAAGTAAAAAAACTCTCACATTCCAGCGCCACCAATCCCGACTGTTAAGGATGTTAGGAGAGTTACAGCAACTACCAATTTGATGTCCAGCATAAGTAGAGATGGCAGTTATTTTAGCAGAAGTGTAAAAAGACACATATAAAGCAAACATTATTTGCGCATACAGTTACCTGTGTGACATATTCTGCGTTGATTTGGGACACAGAGGGCGCAGATGCTTTCTTAGCATGGGTTTGATTCTCCATGTCGGTATTCAGCTGGCTAGCTTGCTTTCCTAAGGAAAAATGGAACTATAAGCTAACATAGCAAACTACCTATTGCAATTACATTTTTTCTTTATAACACTAGCATGCTAGCTAGCTAAATTGGACTTTACAGTCCAGCGAACTAGCTAGCAAGTTAATGCTAACGTTAGCTAGTAACGTTACAGAGTAGTAGATAACGCTAGCAAGCTAGTACCCGTTGTTGTCCAACTAGCTGGCTATGGTAGCAACAATTAGTAGCTAATAAAACATTGCTTGTTTATATACAAAGTCAAATAATTGTAGAAACCAACCGTGTTGTTTCAAAACATGTGTGTGATTCCCGCTACGCATGTACACAAGCAAAACACTTTATGTACGACACATTTCCGGTTGGCTATGTTTAGATTCCTAGTGAAACAAGGGGTGTAACAATAGTTCCTACACAGCAAGCAGTGCCAGTATATCCAGTCAGTATTTTCCAAATTCTTTGGGAGTACACATATGGAAAATACATAAAAGTTGGTCTTATTTCTATAATATCTGGGGTTATCATTATAGAGTTGTTATTACGGCTAAACAATGTTTTAGACCATATAGTGATATGATGTAAGTCACTCTGTATAAGAGCGTCTGCTAAATGACTAAAATGTAAATGTAAAATGATTGGAGAACATAGCATGTTAATGATTCAGGTAACCTATGATGATGAACTATCAAGTATCATTTTGCATAATTCAACTGATTTATCTCAAGGTAAAATCGCAGAGATAGACATTTATATACACTGCTCAAAAAAATAAAGGGAACACTTAAACAACATCCTAGATCTGAATATTTTATTCAATCTTATTAAATACTTTTTTCTTTACATAGTTGAATGTGCTGAAAACAAAATCACACAAAAATGATCAATGGAAATCAAATGTATCAACCCATGGAGGTCTGGATTTGGAGTCACCCTCAAAATTAAAGTGGAAAACCACACTACAGGCTGATCCAACTTTGATGTAATGTCCTTAAAACAAGTCAAAATGAGGCTCAGTAGTGTGTGTGGCCTCCACGTGCCTGTATGACCTCCCTACAACGCCTGGGCATGCTCCTGATGAGGTGGCGGATGGTCTCCTGAGGGATCTCCTCCCAGACCTGGACTAAAGTGTGGTCCTCTGTAGCTCAGCTGGTAGAGCACGGCGCTTGTAACGCCAAGGTAGTGGGTTCGATCCCCGGGACCACCCATACACAAAAATGTATGCACGCATGACTGTAAGTCGCTTTGGATAAAAGCGTCTGCTAAATGGCATATTATTATTATTATTATTATAAAGCATCCGCCAACTCCTGGACAGTCTGTGGTGCAACGTGGCGTTGGTGGATGGAGCGAGACATGATGTCCCAGATGTGCTCAATTGGATTCAGGTCTGGGGAATGGGCGGGCCAGTCCATAGCATCAATGCCTTCCTCTTGCAGGAACTGCTGACACACTCCAGCCACATGAGGTCCAGCATTGTCTTGCATTAGGAGGAACCCAGGGCCAACCGCACCAGCATATGGTCTCACAAGGGGTCTGAGGATCTCATCTCGGTACCTAATGGCAGTCAGGCTACCTCTGGCGAGCACATGGAGGGCTGTGCGGCCCTCCAAAGAAATGCCACCCCACACCATGACTGACCCACCGCCAAACCGGTCATGCTGGAGGATGTTGCAGGCAGCAGAACGTTCTCCACGGCGTCTCCAGACTCTGTCACATCTGTCACATGTGCTCAGTGTGAATCTGCTTTCATCTGTGAAGAGCACAGGGCGCCAGTGGCGAATTTGCCAATCTTGATGTTCTCTGGCAAATGCCAAACATCCTGCGCGGTGTTGGGCTGTAAGCACAACCCCCACCTGTGTACGTCGGGTCCCTCATGGAGTCTGTTTCTAACCGTTTGAGCAGACACATGCACATTTGTGGCCTGCTGGAGGTCATTTTGCAGGGCTCTGGCAGTGCTCCTCCTTCTCCTTGCACAAAGGCGGAGGTAGCGGTCCTGCTGCTGGGTTGTTGCCCTCCTACGGCCTCCTCCACGTCTCCTGATGTACTGGCCTGTCTCCTGGTAGCGCCTCCATGCTCTGGACACTATGCTGACAGACACAGCAAACCTTCTTGCCACAGCTCGCATTGATGTGCCATCCTGGATGAGCTGCACTACCTGAGCCACTTGTGTGGGTTGTAGACTCCGTCTCATGCTACCATTAGAGTGAAAGCACCGCCAGCATTCAAAAGTGACCAAAACATCAGCCAGGAAGCATAGGAACTGAGAAGTGGTCTGTGGTCACCACCTGCAGAACCACTTCTTTATTGGGGGTGTCTTGCTAATTGCCTATAATTTCCACCTGTTGTCTATTCCATTTGCACAACAGTATGTGAAATGTATTGTCAATCAGTGTTGCTTCCTAAGTGGACAGTTTGATTTCACAGAAGTGTGATTGGCTTGGAGTTACATTGTGTTGTTTAAGTGTTCCCTTTATTTTTTTGAGCAGTGTAGTATAGACATTTATTTGTTCTAAAGATGTCAAACAAACTTGGATTAAAACAGCAAAGTATGGCAGTTATGCAGATGAATAAAAAATAACTCTTAACCAATAAATAACAAGCACATTGTTATACCAAAAATGCCTTGGCTTCACATGACAATCATTTCATTTTAAACTCTGGATTTAACAAATGACAATACAAGGCACATTTTATTAAATCAATCATATTGTAATTTTGACCTTTCTGAACAGTGATGTGGGCATACTAAACTAAACTGAGAAAAGATAGATAAATAAATAATATTAGATATAGGTAAATAAAATCAGAACTATCTAATTCAAAAATGTATGCATCCACTACTGTAAATCGCTCTGGATAAAAGTGTCTGCTAAATGACTACAATGTAAATGTATCTGTTAAGACCATGTCTTATTTGTGTGTGCGTTGGTGTGTTTTTAGATGAGACGCTTGTGTGAAAGTCTTCTCACATGCTTTACACTGGAATGGCCTCTCTCCCGTGTGGGTGACATAATGTCTCTGGAGTTTGGAGGGAGTCTTGAAATCCTTAAAGCAAATTGCACACTGATATGGGCTTGACTGAGTAACCTCAACTAGATTTCTTGAGACACATTTATGGAGCTGAAGATCCCTTTCCGTTTCAAAAGATGTGATGCATGTGTCACACTGAAATGGCGTGTGAATAGTTTCACACCAGTAATGACCAAGCCTCTCATTTTGGATAACATTATGACTGTCTGCATCTGCTATGACTCGATTGGTTTGAAAATCCATCTGCATAGAATCCATGTGGTCCTCCATTTCCTGTTGCAATGAAGTCTGACCTGTAATGTCATTGCTTAGGACATGAACATTTAGATGAGTAGCAAGCTCAGATGGGGACAAGAAATGACTGTGACACTCAGTGCACCAATAGTCCTCACTTTGTCTACTCCCAGGTTCCATATTATCATCTGGTATGTCTTGTTTTGCCACAAAGCTTGGGTCTCTTGTCTGTGAAGAATGACCTAATCCCTCATCAGTGACTGAGCAGTGATCAGAACTGTCTTTGTAGGACTGTGGCATGTCTCTCAGTGTCTTTCCTTGAGCAGAGGCAAGAGTTTCATGGTCCCTAAACCTGCGGTTATCCTGGACATCACTACATGTTCTATTCTCATGTGTTCGTTGTTCATGGCTTCTCAAGTGGCATGGCTGTCTGAAAGTTTTAGTGCACAAACTGCATTTGAATGGTCTTATCCCAGTGTGTATGAGAACGTGTCTGGATAGTTTGCTTGGAGTGTCAAAGCCCTTCTGACAAATTGTGCACAGGTGTGCTTTTCTTTTAACACAGATCACTTTGTCTATAGGCCTGGAGTTGTTGCACTTGTGCACATTGTTTGGTATGGATTGTTTAGAAGTGTTGATTATGTTGTTGTCCGATTGTGCCTTTGCTTGATTATTACAGGTATCCTCACAATTGTCCTGGAATGGTCTCCATTCATTCACACCTTTCAAATGTGACGGCTCTGTTTTCATAGAACTCGCCACAGGAACTTGAACACAGACTTCAGAGTACTGAAGTTGTTGCTGCCTTCTTACTTTCATTCCATTTCCCTGTTGAGAGGCAGGTCTGAAGGGTCTCCAATTGTTGTGAGTTCGCTCGTGGACTTTGAGGTGTGTGGCCTGTCTGAATGTTTTTCCACATGCCAGGCATTGGAAGGGTCTCAAGCCAGTGTGCACAAGGTTGTGTCTTTGTAGTTTAGAGGCACATGGGAAATATTTGAAACATAGCAAACACTGGTGTTCGGTATGGCTTGTATTCCCCAAAGGGGTGGCATCAGCACCTTTCAAAGCCAATTCAGGACCTGTACTCAGGAAAGGGTCATTGTGAACTTTTCCTGCTGAAGGTTGTGCTTGATTCTTCAATGGTAAGTGGCCACTTTGATTCAGTGTTGTTTCTGGTGGCACTCGGAGAGGGAGCCGAAGCTTGGATAGGGAGGATGTTGAACACTGAAACCACTGCACTTTACTATTGCTTTCATTGTGTCCACATGTAAAAGCACTGCCTTGACCTGACTGACTCTCTGTAGGGGAGTTGAGGTGAAAGTTCCTATCAAAATTGTGCTTTTCAGGATGCATTTCCTGAAATTGGACACCCACTGGAGACCCTCTGTATTCAGTCATTCGATGTGATGGAGGTCTAGAACGCTGAGCATATCTTTGCTTGCCATTTCTGGACCACAGATGAGTGCGGGAGTGGATCCTTAAATGTGTTGGCTGGCGAAACCTCTTCCCACATGTGTAGCACCCAAAGGGTCTCTGACCAGTATGGGTCAACATATGCCTCTGCAGTTTCGATGGAGAAGGGAAACTTTTAAGGCATGCGAGACACTGATGGTTCAGTAGCTGATTCTTCATTTTCTGGCTGATCTTCTTACGTTGGCTGTTGGTTTGACCAGATACCGGTGTCTCCAGGTAAGTTGACTCCTGCAGG